TTTCTCATGACATCTAAAGTAAGACCCCCATTTTTCTTTGGTCTCTTGCCTGATATGGTCATTTCTCTTGACATCTAAAGTAAGATAGAGAGAGCTTCAAATGAGCCATACAAAAGTCTCCCGCCAAAGACTTAAAATTAATTTTTCCCCAATACAACAAGGACACCCGTCCGTACTTTACGTTATCTAAGTGAACCACAAGGTAGAAGTAGACTCCAAATTCAAACTTCTTTGTTGTTTTGAGCAGAGATACCTACGAAATAAAGAGAAATAAATGAATTACCCACTTTCTTACATATTGTAGACGGCTTCATATCGTGAAGAATTATAATTTCCGTTCAAATTTACCACAATAGTTATACTCACCAGTAATATTATGTATCCTAGTCTCCTTGACCTCTTCAGATCGCAAACTCCGCTGTATTGGAAAGAAATGAAAAATGCAAGATGTGTTAAAAAAATTTCGCCCTAGTGGCCCTAATTAAAAATAATTTGCTTTAAATGACATCTAAAATATAACAACAAATAAAAATTACCATTTAATTACACACAGAAACTAGGAGAGGTGAAATACATTTTGAATCCGCTTGTTTTTCCATAAAATAACTCATCATTAAAGTTAATATGCAGACTGACTTCACAAATAAGAAATAATCCAAGAAGGTTTTGTTCAAATTTGCGAGTCTTGTCGCACAATGAGGTGGTTGGCTTCTGGAAAATTTCTGCGATGAACACACAGGACAAAATAAGGATAAGAACTTAATCCAGTTTTCTCCCGATATTCATTTGAAAACTTTCAAACTGTCACCAAAGCCAAAATTCCTCAGACTTCACTTCCTAATACTCACCTTGAAGGTAAGGAGTATGCAAACATGCAAATTTTGATTCCCTCAACATTAACAAGTGAATTGGCTAATTAACAAAAGGAACACATGTTCTTCATCTTCACTTTTCGCCCTCTTCACAATGTTTGGTCATTTGGCGCAATGTTTTAATGCATGACAACCAAATGAAGGTCCAAATGCAAGCTGAATTGTGCGTAAATGTGTTCGCTTTACCATTTTCCTTATCGAAAAAAAAAACTGATTTCGAAATACCTGTAATAAGGCTTCTCTTGCGACGTAAAGACGCGAAAAAGAAGTCTACATTTCTTGTGCATGTGTAAAAATTAAATTGCCAGTTTTTGACAATATGCGTTCTGTTTACCTTGTTGCTAGTTATCTCCAAACAAAAGGTGAAATTGGCATGACCTTAATTAAAGGGGTGTCGCAACCATGAAAAGAGATAGAAACAGTTTTCAGGTGTACGTTATGACAAACTGTAAGCATCGCGAAGACCAGTATTAACCCTTTTTTCGCTTTCACAAAGCTGTTTTCCCTTGACGACATCGGAATTCTAAATTTGAATCATTAATCCTTTAAGTCAGCGGCACTAAGGTGATTTTTCAAATTATGCCATAACATTGGTCTGTTTTCGATATGGAGTAGTGGTTCAATATGCGAGTTTTTTCTGTCAAAAATGCTGGACTGTATTTATGATGCAACTCTGACATCCCCCCCCGGGCAACCCAAAGGCATTTGACTGTTGTGTGTACCCGGGGGAGGATGGGATATTTGAATCTTACTTGGGTGGACAGGGGCATTTGAACTGGTCTTTCAAGCCTAATAAACGTTTTTTATTGGAGGAGTTTGAAGGTAAAGAGTCTGCTTTCATGAGCGTAAGACCATTTTCACCTCGTACAATGATGCTCGCAAGAAATAAAAACCCGCCAACAAAAGAACTAATACTTGACTTTGCTAAATTTTTGTAATATTCGTTGATCACACAAAAAATCGTTCAAAATTAAGTAGGGCATTTGAACGCAACTTTGTCCGGGGGGAGGGGGGGAGAATTTAAACGAGTCAATCTGCAAAAATTTACGTGTCTAGGGGGTTGCCCGAAGGGGGGTGTTGAAACATTGAATTGATCGACACATAAATAGGCGATTTGCGTGGTTTTTCGAATAATGAACAAAATTCCCCTGTGACTTACGAGAAGGCTTTATCAGGTAGATGTGTAAACAGAAAGTCATTAAGTTGGGATTCCAAAAATTAAATTTGCCCAAGAGTGACTGAGATGGGGTATAGGCACAGAATTGACCATAATAGGGTAGGGGGTTCTTAGAGGCCAGCAGGACATACTGAGCACAAATTGACCAAACTAATCCCCTCTAAATGGTCTATAATATGCCGAAAACATTTTAAACAATTTACATTAATTCTCTGTCCTCCCCCCCCAAAAAAAAAAAAATTGTAATAAAACACATGCATCAGTCGTCAGTGGTAATTGAATAAACTTTTTGATTGCTTTACCTGAACAAAAGCCCAAAACGGATCCTATGACAATTTGAATTAAATCAACATACAGTGTAACTGTTTGTGACAGAGCAAAAATACCATTGATTTTGGGTTTACAGCTTATTGGTGGAGGTGGTTCAACGGTTTTCAACCACTCACAAAGCATGGTGTAATAAAGTAACTTACACCTGCAAAAGCTTACATTACTTTGGAAACCTGGCACTTAAAATTGCTGTAAAGAATAACAAAAAATAACTTACTGTTAATTTTAATCAGATATGTCCTCCATGTACTTCAGTGTCCACTGCACCCCAACATGATAATTGAACCCAGAAATAAAAACAAGGAAATAACATCTCAAAATTCAATCATTATGGTTACTTTCAAATTGGCTTAACCTTTGTTCTATGCAAAAAAAAAATCATATTGCTTACACAAATTATTTTTTATTCTGGCAAAGTGACTAGGGAGTTGTAATGTTTCTCACTGAGAGAAGGTACCTACTTAGTGTCCATGGGCTGGAGTACTGTTCTCCCATTTGTTAAACTCTGTACTAAGGTAGTTCAAGATCTGTTCAGTGCAGCAAGACAGTCAAGTTTTCAAAACATTTTCCATACACTTCTCTTTGTTTTTTTGGTGAACTAAGTCTTAGCATCCCAGATCAAGACTGAGGAAGAGACTTAATGGGTGAAGCTGACTCCATTACAGGTCAGCTGTCAGTCACCCATCTCTTGTACACAGTTCAAGATCTGTTCGGTGCAGTAAAACAGTCCAGTTTTCAAAACAGTTTTCACACTCTCCTCTTTCTTTTTTGGTGGACCAAGTCTTAGCATCACAAATCAAGACTGAGGAAGAGACATTATGGATGAAGCAGACTCCATTGCAGGTCACCAATAGTCACCCATCTCTTGTAAACAGTTCAAGACCTGTTTAGTACAGCAGGACAGTCCAGATTCCAAAACAGTTTTCACACACTTCTCTTTGTTTTTTTGGTGGACTAAGTGTTAGCATCCCAAATCAATACTGAGGAAGAGACTTTATGGGTGAAGCAGACTCCATTACAGGTAAGCTGTCAGTCACCCATCTCTTTTACACAGTTCAAGACCTGTTCAGCACAGCAAGACAGTCCAGATTCCAAAACAGTTTTCACACACTTCTCTTCGTTTTTTTGGTGGACTAAGTCTTAGCACCCCAAATCAATACTGAGGAAGAGACTTTATGGGTAAAGCAGACTCCATTACAGGTCAGCTGTTAGTAATCCATCTCTTTTACACAGTTCAAGATCTGTTCAGCGCAATAAGACAGTCCAGTTTCCAAAACAGTTTTCACACACTTCTCTTTGTTTTTTGGTGGACCAAGCCTTAGCATCCCTGATCAAGACTGAGGAAGTAACTTAATGGATGAAGGCGACTCTATTGCGATCTGCTATCAGTCATGTCTTATCCACACTTCAAGATCTGTTCAGCTCAGTAAGCTGGTCCACTAGTATTTTAAACAAATGAAGTGATCATAGAGTGCCTAGGTAGTAAAAACTCATGCGATGATAATGGAAATGTAACGGTGAGCCTTTGTAAAAGCAAATGTGACTTCTCCGAAATTCCTTATGTTGACTCGTGATTAGTGTGGGTCAATAATAATAAGTAGGTCGGTCAGCGTTTTGTCATTGCCGAAATGAAACATTGCAAGCTCTACATATTTAGAGCATGTAACCTTCGTAGACCAATCGACTCTGCCCTTAAAAAAAGAGAAAAAATCCACACTGAGAGAAAAATTTGCAGAAACCAGTTTTCGCTTACCGCAACTAGACGTTTGAACGAGAATCAAATCTCCATCATTTCAGGATGTTGTCTCGTCAAGTGGTTGTTAAATGCACCAAAGCAACTGAAAGAGTTTTTCCTACATTGAAACGTCGCCAGTGGCAAGCAAAAATGCTATTTGTGCAAAGTAAACGCGTTAACCACTCTTCCAAATCAAACCGTGCTCGAGGTTGCGATCGCCATCTTGAATAACAGGATTTGTGGTTCCCAGTACCTTCTCAATCTAGGCACGGTTTGTGTTACTTGATATATTCAAAAAGAAAAATCTCTCCCTTGCGACAAGATTTACCAAGACAACGGTAACTTGATTCGTAGTCATTTTTGTTTGTTTTTTCGGCTGACATTGAAGTGAAATCTGTAGCAAAAGCACACAACCTAGTGACAGGCTTCTGATGACAGCTAATGGAAGAACACACTTGCTAAACGTTCCTACATCGCCCTATAAAAGCGACCAGTCAAAGACTAACTTTTCGGTATACAGCTGTTTCGAGAAAGGTTGTCAGAAAAAAAGGACAAAGGAGCACGGAACAATCTCGAGGGGTAATCTGAGTATACAGTAATCAATAAATTTTAACAAGTCAAATAAATAAATAAGTAAATAAATTTATCAACCCGCAATGCCTCGTCCTTACTGGCTTTTTTTCAGGTTTGCCTTGAAACCTGAGGACCTGAAAACTACTCACAATACCTTTCGAGATGTTGCGTGTATTTTTACGGTTTTTTTTTCCCGACCTTTCTCGAAACAGCTGCATAATAACGTTTAGCAGCATTTCGTTATTCCAGAAAAGTTTATTCATTATACTTAAAGACATCACCTTGTCAACCTAATTTTATAACTTATTTAGTTGCCGCTATAAGGTGCTTTTTAATGTTTCCTGGAAATCTTTCGGGAAAAGGTAGCCCATCAATCTATTTCCATTTTTTCCTCGAGCGCATGCCATCATATCTGCAGGTTAGCTCTAAAGGGGCTGTTGACATTTCAAAAAAGGAAGGAGGAAAATGAATAAATGAGGGACTTAACCCGTACACTGAATTACCCTGACAAAGAAAATTACCCCCAAGAAAATGCCTGTATGTTAGAGATTGAAATTATCAAGTGAAGAAAACGACGCTCTCAGTAACTAAGAAAAAATATAGTGCTCTGAAGTTATTGGTCGAAATCCAACGAACAAACTGGATGAATCGTTTGCTCTTAGCTCTAGGCAAGATGACCGAAAAAAAAAAAAAACCCTTGGGCCCCTTTTTGTGTCTATGGCCTCTGATAAGACAAAATGCACGATGGTAAGAATTAATGCATTTAGTTTATTAAACATGAATAAACTGACACTTTCTTTAATTAATTTATGTGTTATTGATCAACCATGAAGAAGTCAAATAACTAGATATTGTCCAAGTTGATTACTTTTTCTTTCTTTTTAGTTCGTTTGTTTGTTTGATTTTTCTAGACTTCTTCTTAGCAAACAATTTTGAAACTCATTGTAGTTTTCTTCGATTTGAATTCCTTCAGGATGTATTTAAATTAACATGAATTATACCAAATTATCTGTTAGTCTTCATAACGAAATAAAAACTACGCATGCCTTTGAAGGTTTTTTTAATGCTTAAAAATAACTCACTTGCTAACACAGCAAGAAACGTATCTAGTCTACAAAAAACATAAGGCAACTGGAGCAAGTAATCTTCTTCTTTTAGGCTGCTTACAGCAATTTGGAAATGATAAAATGTCTTCATTTAGCAAGTTAGCAAAATGTAGACGAAACTAATGAAATGGGCAATAATCGTTCAAAAGACTAAGGGCAGACATATCTCTGAGCAAAATCCTCCAAAATATCCTTGTTGAGACCACGTTTCTCTGGCCACAGTTTAACAAACGCAGTCTTGTCCAGCTGGTACCTGCCCCCTTTATCCAACCCCATGATCAAGTACTCTGTATTTTCCTTCATATCGGGACTCTGGCACGATCCACGTTTCTTGAGTTCGATCCTCTGTCTAACCTTTAAGTTCTTGTGGCCTTGTTGAATAACTTGCAAAACCTCGACAACGTAGTTTAGCATACTACCGTCTTCATCGATCAGCAGAACCTTTCCTTTTATAACTGTAAGTAAATTATTGAATACGTTATACAAGCAAAGGGGAATCAACTTCCTTGCCTAGCGTTTTGAACTCTTTAATTCGTTTTCATTATCCGCTTTCGTAGGCTCATCCCGACTTTTGTATCATAAAGCGACTAAGGTGCTCATAAAAGTTGCCGGTTGCCCCCGACCGACCCCTACCTCGCAAGGTTTCTCTGACTTTTTCTAAAGCTTGTCACTATTCATCAATACAGTCCCTAGTGAAGGCAGATCCTGTAAAATTTTGAGTTTCACACCCCAAGCCACCATACAATGCTCAGATAGAATATCAATCAGTCATTTCAGAGCACAACACTATATAACACATGATGAAGTGTCCCATATTTTTTTACACCGATCCAAACCTCTGAATTGAGAACTGAGTGTTTTCTAACAACTAGATTGTGAGCTTGAGATTTTTATCTAGTAATTGTTGTTGAGGGCGAAGCCCGAATCAATTTTCACGCATAGAAATCGGGAGCGAATAATCTATTGGTTAGATTAAATCTAGTTACCTTGCAAATGTTTACAACAGGACAGGCTCGTGTTTTTATCTCGTTTACTTTACAACCACACAATGCTAGGCTACTCACTCTACTCACTATATATCACGGAATAGATAGTGAGTAGCCAATCAGATTGCAGCATTTGGGATAGAACGGTAATAGATTTATACTTAATCATAATAGCAGGTACTACGCTTCGAATTAAAAAGGAGTGGCGATCTTACCGTAATTGTAATTGTCACAAGCTAAATTAATCAGCTTGTCCACATCACCAATAGGAGGATCTCTTTGAGCACATTCATCTGGAATAGGGAAATAAAATTACAGCAATGAATAAGTTGAACGCCCTCCTCGAATGATTGCTTAATTTGATGCTGAGTTACTAAGTTGTTTAAGCCATTTTTAATGTCATCAGACGTACATGTTGACAAAATCGTTCAAACAGTGGTGTCTATTCTGTCTAATAACCCTCACCTTGGGTGCATTTGCACGATCTTGAGCCAACTTCACAAACTCCCAACTTCAACGGGCTGTGCTTGTCAGGTCCATAAAATTTGCTGCAGGATTGATCTGTACTCATGAAAACAAACAAACAAACAAACAAACAAACAAACAAATAAGTATACAAATATTTACTTAATTCCTTAAGAATTCCGAGTAACTTTAACATGACTAATTTCTCCGAGTATTTACCCTCTTGACAATGACAATAGAACCGGAACGAACCAGACCAAAACATCAAAGCCCAGTTGTTAAAAAGGTAGATAAAGCTATCCAACGAATAAATCGCTATCCAGCGGATATGGGTTCACAAAACGAACTGTGCTATCCACTGGATAGAGATTAATCCAGCAGAGAGCGTTCACCACCATTCGAACAACCGGGGCCAGTTCCGATGAAATATTTTTCTCTTGAACCTGACATTCAACAATGCATTACACATAACCTTTATATCAATTCCATTTAAGTTTTAAATAAACTCTGACCTGGTTCGTAGTAGTCGTATACATTCACCGGTACCGCTTGCACGACTCCCACATAATATTCTCTATCAAACCGAACATCTACACACAGAGGACGGTCACTGCGAATCTGCGATGAAAAATGATCATAAGGCCACTAGTATAACAAGGATCACTTCCTACTAATATTTCAAAACAACTAACAGAAAGAAGACACACGATTTCTAGTGAACAGCAACTGCGGAGACCACATGGTAACATGGCCATGTTAATGTGGTCTGCGCCAATGGTCACGGACCCAGAAAAGTGTCTCAAGTGGAAAGACGGATAGGGAAAAGGATGATAAAACGAGAACACTTCCTTTAACTACTCTAGTTTAGCAAAAGATTTCCGTTTAGAGAACGACAGAATTTGCATTGAATTCAATGGCTTGAGAAGTGAGCGAATACAAAACAATCAGTATTGAACTTCAATCACGCGATCAAGACTATACAGTTGACTCCGAAGAATCAGCTTGACTGTACTTATACTTAAAAGAGAGCCTACCAAAGCCAAGGGTGTACTCTAGATGTATCACAAGTAGACCCTAGCTTGGATGATTTAGCTCAAACTAGACCGCCATTTACTGCGTCTTTTACATATTCAAAATTTTCGGCGTACTTCCTGTACTCTACTGGCTTCTCGCCTGAATTTAAAGAATTTTGCCCGAGATATAGGTGAAGACGCGGGGGACGACTGCGACAAATGAATGCTGCCTTTAATCCTTCCCCCCTGTGCCTCCTTGTATGAAAGGGAAACCTAGGCTTGTAGAGATTCATATTCACTGATCTACATATCTTACCTCACTGAGGTAAACAACCAGTGAGGTGTGTGAGACCTCAAGCTTATCCACTTCAGCTATATCCTGCAACTGTTAAAAGGAAAGAAAGCTTTCAAAATTATAATTCAAAATGACACACTTTTTCCTCCAACTTTGGTTTTATGAAAATTTTAATCGTTTCCTTATGCGCTTTTTTCCAGCGATTTTCCAGGTTTATTGATGTCGCTGTCACGACGATGACAGTTTCGCGAACCATAGTTTGAAACAATCTCATGTACAACAACAACCAAAGTGCAATGAAGACACTGAATCAAAAAACGAGAAGGGCGGTCACAACCGCGACAACTAAATAAAACCTATTTGAGGATTAATAGCAAAAATATCAAATGTATACGAAACATAAACGAAGAGAAGGATAGAAGGCAATTACAATCAAATTGAGTGCACTTTAATTTTCTTACCGATTGTGTAGATAGCGAGGTCGACATCAACCTACCTTATTCAGTGAGATCTGATCGGGTTTAAATCCTGTCAAAATTCCAATATCCATTATAGACATTCCGATATTACCTTTCTCTTTGTACCTGGAAATGGAATGAGAAACATTTCAGACCTACAGGAATTTCATTGAGGTCGAGAAATAGCCGGGTCATTGTGTAGAGATGTGTCGGCAAGACACTTCACCCTCATCCAGTGCCACTCTCCACCCGGGAGTATAAATGGGTACGGGTGAACCGACAGGGAAAGCTGACGAAATGCCTAGGGATTGAGGAATGAGGAATAAAAACTTACCTAGTGCAAACTTTTAAGTGAATGCTCTTGACGGGCTGATGTTTAGGCGGAGGCCTTTTGTTTTTATTATTCCTGTTCTTATTCCTCTTCTTTTGCTTTTCTTTCTCCTCTTTTCTGCATTTTCTTTTCGCTTTCTTGCCTCTTAATTTCCTGCACCGATTTATTCCTCCCTTGTCGTTCTTTTTTCCTTTCTCATTATCATCAGCAGCTTCATCTTCCACAGGACCAAACAAATTGCCCACTTTAGGTTCTTTGATTTCTTTCACTGTGATGTTTAGGTCAAACTTACAACTCTCGCCGCGAGTCGACGGAACGTTGTAACGAACTTCAACCTGAAATTTAAACGCAAATTTTAAAGACAATTTTTTTACTCTTTCAATAATGCGAAAAGGGTACAGGGAAATGAAAATGTCTCCTTTTCAAGCGGCAAGCAAAGCATTTCAAGTTGATTTTTTTCCACCGCGTAAGGTGGTTCAGATGAGAGAAATTGTAGATTGTTTAAACTTTTTGATAGCTGACAACATCTCGCATCTCTCATTTTAATTGCTGACAACAACTCACAACGAAAGTGACCAAATCGCAAGACAAACGATTATACTTCATGGTGAAAGTGCATTCATAACAATGACACACCATATATATCTATCTATATCAATAAATTAAACCTACGAAAAAAACTCGTGTTTCCTACGGGATTTCTACTCATACAGTGTACATTTTATCTAACTCATTGCAGTATAAAGACGCTGAGCGAAAGGCGAGAACATAGGTGAAGTACCAAATCAATGAGAAGATTGCAAAAAAAAAAGGGGGGGCTAGAATTTCGTCAAATTCATCAATCAAAAGCAATTTTCGCGCACGGCCATCAAATTGGTCTTGATCGGCGCATAAAAACTCCTAAGAGTCGAGCTCATTATTTTCACTCCATGTCCCGATGTATTATAACTTGTATTCTTAGTTTTTCCGCATTTTGTGTCTGGTGTAGTCCGCAAACTATGGCACTGAATAAATTGTTAACCTTACCTCCACCATTCCTACACCGGTTCCTTGAGTGTCGACAAAGAGATCTCCCCCAAGGAGATTCTTGATCTGCAATGAAACACATAGATGAACTTCACTCTCCGGTTTAACTTTGCGCATAAAATGACTGACCCTTGACACGATATGCGTTTTGATTCCAATTTTCACCAAATAAAGCAATTTCCAATTTTGTGCCGAAATGTTCCGGGATCGCTTTGAATTTGCGTTATTTAATTTTGCCTTGTTGGGAAAAAAAAAACACGAATGGCAAGGCCACGATTGATTTCGGTTGCACACCACATCGTTTGAAAAGGCGAAACGAGCTTTCTACTACACAAATCACGAAGCGACACATCGCAAAACAGTGCAATTCTCGCTTACTCAAACCCTCCATTGAAATTTCACTATAAGTAAAGTATCTTATTCGCAATCCTTACATCGAATTGTCTCCGCAGCAGTGCGTTATCTGGCGTGATGTGTACCGGCGGTGGTTTCCAGTCTCCATTCATTACTGATGACAATTTCACTCTCAGATCCAAGTTGTTACCGGCGGTCTCTTCACTGTACATAGCTAAAGCTTGAAGAGCTACCACTGTATCCTAAAGAAAAACAATTCTGATTGATACATTGTCGAGAAAAGCTGCGAAAAAAAAGCTCAATAGACAAAAATCGATAATAAACCTTTTAGCTTGATATAAAAGTGATCTGAAATAAAATCTTCACTTATTTTCCACTTAAGTTCGCTGTGAATAATATTAGAACCCCCTTGTTGTTTATAACAAAAAAGGCTCGTAAGTAACTTAATAAACTGAAATATTTGGAATAATCCTACAGTAGGTCCCTAAAAGGTTTTAGTACATTCAGTGTTTTCGAGAAAATAGGAGGAGCCATGAAAATTCTTAATTCTCCGTCTTAAGATCGTGTGCGCCCGATTCATAAGAGTGGATGTCCAGTGAGAGCTGGTCGCTTTCGCCCCTCGCTATCATTCGAATACCATCCAACAACACTGTAGAGAGCTCGTTGGCGGGCTGCCTTGTTTCCAGTGTTTCTATTCTTACAACCCCTGAAGCAAAAAAGGGGAGGGAAAAAGACAAATCCTGGGAGAGAGGTTGGTTGGCAGGTGAGGCCACGCATTAGCTTTATTTGCAAGTGCTCGGATCAGCGGTAATTGCAAAAAAAAGTTCCTCTCTTCCAACTATGCGTCACCTGTCAGCCGACAGATAACCGGCACGCCACCGACATATAACCGACAAACAACTGACTGTCGGTCGATTGTCGGTTATTCTTCACAATTACCCGGACCAGCAGTTTGACGTTTACGTACACAGAAAAGACAAAAAAATTTGAGATTACTGAGGCGAGCTGCGATACTTTAACTACTTCGTTAAACAGACCTGAGTAGACACGAATCCAACACCGCCCTGCCTTTGACTGGTCATATACGTCACAATAGGACCTGCATAACCTGTGCGTCCGAGGAGAACTTGAGTCATCAGCGCGTAACCAGCGGTCTCCACATCCAACGCATTGCCACCAGTGCTCCAGTAACGTGACTTTTTAGCTAAGAGGAATTATTAAGAAATTAAGAATTCAAAGTGCTCGAAAATGAACACCTCACTTCGAACATGCTTACTTCAGGCCTCAAACTTGGTTGCAAGCGGGATTTTGTGCCTGATGCTCAACAAGTTTGTCCAGTGAAAATTGAGTGAGATCTCTGACGAGTATATAGACGACACGAAAATTCGCGTCAAACTGGAAAACAATTATGCTTTAATGCGTCATATAAAGTTATTTCTGTATAAATTGATTTTGTGAACTAAATTATTGTTACTTTCTCCCTTATTTATTTCATGCCATTAACGTGAATGACAAACCAGAAATCAGCAGAATTTCTTCGTAAACCACTGTCTTACCATTGTCATATATAGCCCTTTGTACTAGGCGGTCGTTGGCGTTGATTTTTTCTTTGCTATTTACCAATGCCAAAGCATATGCTGTGAGAGACATACTGTAAGGTCTGTTCAGGTTTTTGTACTGCTTCTCCAAGTAATCTGTCGCGCGAAGTATAGAGGCTTTTGAGGCCTAAGAGAAGGACAATTAGAAGTATTTAGTTCAATGCGATATTAAGTTGTTTAGAATACAATAACCTAATACGGGAACACTCTGTCAGCTATATAGTAGTGCTTGAAGTAGGAGGTGCGCTAGACGTTGAAACAAAGCTAGTGTGGAGTCGCAGAAGAACAGGAAAGGCACTAGAGTTCAGCAAGCTGTTAAATGGAACGTGCACTGTTGGTTGTTCAAAAATGAAATGTAAACACACCCATGGAAGTGTTTTCTAATGTGGTGGTATTATTGACCCCTGTGATAATTGCAAACAACTCGCGTGAATGAAGAAAGCTTGCCCATAGCAGTTGAAAATATTTTGATAATGAGCGCATTGTCAAACACATCCGACGAATAGAAAGGAAAAGGAAAAGAAGCAAGAATAATTGAACAATGAACTCTGTTTTTGGAGGAGTTTGTTTTTTCTGCATCGCAACTGGGCGTATACGTATTTCTGTGTTTGTTCTCGTTAAATATCTAGACCGGTACACATCCTTTAAGTAAATTCTTTTACCACAAATGTAAAGAAAACGTTGTAAAGGCTGAGAAGGAATTCAAACAATAAATAGTTGAACACTTACCGCTCCTGAGCATTTGCATTCCGCGAGGGCAGTTAAAACAAAAGCTGTCATGGCAACATCTCCTTCCGTGTAAACACCTCCCTAGAATAAAGCAACGTCGTTGTGTTTTGAGTGATCAAAAATAATTCGACGATTATTGGACCTTTGACGAAAAATCAATAATGAGGCGTAACATTTCCTGATCTCGTCGATGACATCCTTAGGGTGGGGGGTTGAGTTTACTATTATTATTTTTCTTGGAACGTTCTCAAAAACCATTCTAAGTCTCTTCTAAGTTCGCAAACAAACATTCAACATGTTCCAGACAGGCACTCTTTTATAATACTCTACTTTTTAAAACTGATCAGAAATGGTTCCCTCAATAGGTAATTCTTCATTATCAATAGCCGATAATATTGAAGCATAGAGTGGAGGCATGATACGTTACTTAGACCCAAAGGGTTGCGTGACACTCCCTAAATAGAGGGTTATGGAGTGGAAAGAAACCACTTACGACCATCTCTCTGTGAATGACTGCGTTGACTTCGGGCAAAGCCCCATCTCCTCGTTGGTTATTCATCAGCCATTCAACAGACCGACAAACCATTCCTTCATCAATGTTTACTCCTGCAAACTGCTGAGCCTCGCAGAATACTCTCATTACAAAAGCGGTCAGCCTGGACGTGAAATGATGAAATGAAGTTAGTAGGCACAAGAAGTCAGCCAGCTATACTGCCCGAAAAAGTTAAATTTAGCAACAAAAAGAGTAAAAGAGAGCCAGGAAATGTGAATTCAAAAGAATAAAGAAAGGATATGGTTCCTGGCTAAAAAAAAAATGATTTGAAAGTGGGCTAGCTTAGAAGTATTTCATTCGAGAGCTGTATCCAAAGATATGATACTAACATAATTTCGTCACGGAAAAGCCTACGTCTACTCACCAGGAGGGGGGTGAGGGTGAAGGGAGGGAGGGAGGGAGGACGTGATAACAGGAATTCTGGGAAAACATCGCAGGACCAACACCTCCCGGAGACAGGTAGAGCAAGTCAGATCTATTTGGTTGGCAAATATACCTCTCATACTTTATTAAAGTAACTGCGTAAATCAATTCATATTTCTACAAACCATGTACTTCCAGGTCGGCTGTTTCCAAATGCGCTGAACGACATATCACCTCGACGATAGTTCAATTCTCTTTCATAGCCTGCAAAATAAGTGCGCTGCTGCATTAGGATCAAAAGTAACAAATTATGAAATTACCTGTTCTTCAATAAATCATTTTTACCCTAGCAGCTTCCTTTACTTCTTGTTAAAAAAAAGAGGTAAGGTAGTTTAATTCACACTAAGGCAGACATCGGGTTCAGAGAAAGATCGCGTCAAGGGGAGATAAAGGGGCATTGCCCCAAAATAACTTTAAATATTAAGAAAGTCTTCAATGTCGACAGTCATGTTAAAACATAATCAGAAGGGTTCAGTAAATTTACATAATAATCAAAGTTCCTACGAGACTTCTCAGCCAGGCAAGGACTTCACACGAGTGCGCAGTTTCCTTTCGAAAATATGAAAAACAACGACAACTGAAACGGGATAGCACAGCCATCCCGTCACATATTTCGAAAGACGAATTACCTTCTGTAACCGGCTATTAAAGCAAATTTTGTAAAACCCCGTGCTTTAAACAGGAAACTCACGAGCTCTCATCCAAAGATTTCCGCCCAACAAAGTTTACCTGATTGAATGAATCGAAACGCATTTGCTTCGTTTGCTCCACTCAGCTGATTGGTGCTCATCAGATATTTTAAAACGTAGACGTTCGGTGCAAGCCCTATCATATTTTGCTCCCCACAACCAGTAGGTTGTCTGATAAATCTCTCCAGACCACCCTCAATGGTAGTGTTGACGACTGGACCAAGAAGGTTCCCTAAAACGAAAAAGAGAGTCACTCTCGGTTAGAAAGCTCCAAGTTTTCACACGTTTTGGATCAAAATGTCTCCATATTTTCCTTCAAACAAAGACAAGGCCGAAGGATTGTGCAGAGGGAGCTTGAGAGCGAAGAAAATTTCTAACTTCCCTAGGCCCTCTACGTTTAATTACTGCGTCTACACATTCTCGAAAAAATCGCTTACGTACCTGTCACATAAACTACTGCACCAACTGAACCAGGAATGGCTTTCTCTGGAAACTCCAACTTGATAATGTCATGCTGACCGTTGCCATCCACTCGCGCTGAGGAACAGTATAATTTATGAGATTATAATAATTTATAGTAACTCGCATGTGTTGGAATCTGAAATCATGCAATGATGGAAATCGTTCTTACTGCTAGTTTTGGTTCCACGAAAATCGATTTATAATAGCAAATCGATTTACACGCCCAATGAAAATAAACAATCATTGATAAGACAGGGCAACCGCTATCTCATTCGAAACCATCATCGTTTCAAATCAGTCTTGTTGTTCAAGCCACACTCCTACCTTGTTGCTCACGTCTGTTAGATTAAAAGCCATATCTTAAGATTTCACTCACTTTATTTTCATAACCTAAGTGTCTGTCGAATTTCTTTCATTGTCATCCCTACAAAATCGTCGGCTTTCGGAAAAAAATTAAAAGCTTCAGCCGACACATTCTAATTGTTCATCTCAGAATTGCAGCTTTTCACTTTTGCAAATTTAAAATACCATTATACATACATTGTCTCTGGAAGGGTGCGGCAGTTGGTTTGTTTTGCTTTTGATCTCCATTTTTAGGACCATCGTTTAGGTTTCCTACATGAATTAAAAGATAAATGAAGTTAAAACAGTATGGTTAATCTGTTTTCATCCCTCCACACACAATGAAAAAACTAAAATTACTCGCCAGAAGAAAAGCAAAATGACTCAACAAATAACTGCATAGAACTAAAAAGTTGTACATCCATAGAGTGGTTCTCCGTTCACGGATTTTACGCCAAATTAAAATTAGCAGTGTTCTTTGATGCAGAGGGAAGAAAACTAACGAATCTCTCAGAAAAAAGAAACCCTTAGAGTAAGAGCAACAGGCTACAAAAAACTGAAGTCCCTTGAGACAACAGGTCGAGGAATCGCCAGCCAGCGCTGCCACTACGAGGCCTCTCCTTGGAGGAAAAAAGAATTACACTTACCTTAACATAACAATATACGTCTTCAAGAGTTTCTCTTAATATTTTTATTTAAATAGTTTGTATTACTCGAGAAAGCTTACCATTTGGATCCAATACGAAAGACTGTGTTTTTCGAGTTTCCTTTCCTTCCGGCTAAAATGAAATGTCATAGGAAATGGTTTAAAAAGTCTTGAAAGTAACAGCAAAGAAAAGTGGAAAATAACGGTGATCCCCCTTTCGCCATCCCTAACTCTCCTACATTCTGTCCGTTGTATGGGCTCATAAACTCTTCTTATATCCTGACAAAGTTATGGTTGTTCATCTTGGTGACTGTAACTATCATTTACCTCAGGATTTCATGGCTAGGGGCTTATGCAGGACAGAATCAACAAACTAGGTAGAGATATCATCCGTGGCTTCCGCCGTTTCAAACCACACCCAGAATATCGGACGCTGCGCCGTGAGCTTAAGAACGGAAAAAAATTTATGGATTATGACCTAACTGCCCTACACGCACATTAATTAAAAGAGGCGATCCACTAGAGACTTCACTGTCCACGGTAAAATGATGTTAGTTTTAAGATATATCATATATATCATGAGATTACAACGAATTTTATTTTCAATTATAAAAATGTTCCGTACCAAATTCTCAGCCATAGGTAAGGAACATTCTTATCATGTTCTTAAAAGTTCCACCCCAATATTCTTGTGAAAATATGATTATGATATTATAAATAGAAAAAATGAAAGGAAATGCCTACCACAACGTAAAGTTTTCTTCTCACAGAATCTCCAGCTTGGTTCATCATTGCTCCACCAACATCACCTGCTAGTATGACTGAGACCTCAATTGAGATTTCTCCAATTCTTTTAGGAACAATTGGCACAGCAACCGAGCGAGCATTGCCGGGCGGAATATCAACGATACCAATCTGAGCTTTTTTGCCATCAGCAGCAATCGAGCAAAAATCTTTGTCACCCTGGAGGTAAATTTTTGCCTGAAGAAGACAATATGGAGAACTTGTACTTACATTGCGAAGGGTTAATTGACGGAAAACTCGCCTGTGTGAATGAGCCTTTAAATTTCAACTCTTATCGAGCCTTTCCTATCTCTTGGCGCTTAAAAAATCGTATGTTCGAATTTCGGACGCCTGCCATGTAAAATTAATTTTTTGTTATTCCTTTCCCCACACTAAAGGAAATTTCTTTAAAAAAATGGGACAGATTGCAATAAAGGGACTTAAAGGATGACACGAACTATTTTAACATCATTCACTCACATCATTCGTTTTCTTTGAATGAACTGATGACTTGATTTTCATTCTACAACAAAAGCGTCAAAATACAACTCTTAATTTCCAACTCACCCTCAGCTCTTGCTCATGGTAGTTGAACACTGTTGCCAGGATGGATATTTGCTCTCCTCTTTTGACTGAATATGGGAACTTCAGAGAGAGAAATATTGGACGCCATGCCAGAATCCTGAGAGGCGTGGCTAGACCCAGTCCGGTTCTATTGTTGATTGCCACGGCCTGCATGACCCACGTGGTAATGGTGTCGGGTATGGTGACACCCATCTGAACCAATCCATCCGGGCTATAAAACATTGCATAACATGACGTAACGTGACAAGACATAGCAAAACGTGGCGTGACACGAAATAACATGTCATGACATGTCTTGGCGTGGCGTGACATAGCGTAAAGTGACGTCGCACGACGTGGCGTGACGTGACATGACATGACATGACATAACATAACATAACATGACGTGACATGAGATGATATGGCATGACATGATTTAGAAGGTTGTATTAGATTAATTTACGTTCTATTGCCTTGCATTACAATAATTCATATCAAAGGAGTAACATCACAGTTGAAGATTTTGAAAAACTAACCCTTAATCTCTACATGTTCGTCATTGGCAATTCGGGTTAAACTTCTTCATCTTAAACAATCTTTGATCCTTTTGTTTCATTCCTGCCTTGGAAGCGTTGGTCTTTAAGGTTTCATTAAATTTGATGAGGCCTTTTTGCCCTCGAATTCATGCAAAAATAATCCCAATGTAGTTCAGAAACATGTTTCTAACCTCATTGAAGCCACTGAGACCTACTTTTCGCTCCCTCCCTGGTTCAAAAGTTTCTTCTGCGTTAGAAACAGTTTCTCAGATAATAGGTGGCAAGTTTTCGATGTCGTCTAAGAAATTGTGTTGGAAAACTACTCTCCACATCACTCTGGTAATGAAATTCTGCTAAGGTTTGAAAGTCAGCCAATCTCACTGACAACAGTCCTTTTCGGTACCACCCTGATCCGGTCGCTTACAATTATGTGTACGATCTTATAATAAAATATCTCGGAAGCAGTTCTTTAAGAATAGACATGCCTTACCCAACAACTTTCTCGTCGTAGATCCAGGTTTCCGGGAAAAAAGATCTGACTTGTGTTTGAGAGAGGATTTCTTCTTCACTTGGACCAAAGTCATCACCGAGGTCCAGATTTCTTGCCAGAAGTGCAGAATCTGAAAGAGAAATAGCATTTTAGAGGGCATCCAACTTGTCCTCTCCACATTTGCAAAAGTATGATCTTATTGGAAAAATAAACGTATAGGAACTTTACACCGACAGCCAATAAGGATGAAGTTATCAAACTTTTCATTGGTTTCTTAATAATAGTTCTTATGAGAATGTCTCTCCTCTGAATAGATGAAAATCATATCAAACAATTGTTAAAGAGAAGTCAATAATATAAATTGGTACTAGAAAAACCTGACAAAATCCTGGGGAAAGGCGGTGGGGAACCCTGCGATGAGGTACTCACCATGTGAGTAAACAAATCCTTGTCGTTTGAAGCGAAAGAGAAGTGAAAACTTGGGCAATGACGAGCCTATACACTTAACCCATACCTTCTGCACCAAAAGCTTTTTTACAGCATCGCCAGAACGCTGTCCTACAAGAGGGCGAAGCAAATGTAGTGTCGTCTATGTAGCGCCTTGCACAGCTTCTCCCTTCTTCGTCTGGTTTTTCACCCATTTTACAGTATGCTTTGCAATCTGTTGAGTGAAAAACATTCACTGACGAATTTGAGGTTTAAATGGGAAAAGAAAAAGAGATAAATAAAAATACACATCAACTGTTGTGTTACGGAAATTCTGATCGAAAATAAAACTGGATGGAAGAACATTGTTTTACGAAAAAAACTTGTTCACCTTCTTTGCTTGAACTCCTCTTTTTCCGAGCATTATTGTGCTCGCAGCCGTAATCTGCCATATAAAAATGATTTAAAGAATGTAAAGATCTTCGACCTTGAACTAACTTTGAGGGGAGGGAATTCTTCAGGTTAGTGAAATGGTTTCAGAGTTTGAAGGGCCTGAATTTATCTTTCAAATCCGGCGGAACTCTTAATCCTCTTGGTATCAACGAGCACTTTCCATTCACCTAATTTATGATTATGTTTTTCATGTTACTATGTTCCTACCAACAGCGTAGCTCCATCTTTTTGTATAGACAGTAAATAAACCACGCACAACCCACAATTCATCTTTCCGCTCTGACGAAGGTCTAGCGTTCGAAACTTCAGCTTTAGAAACTATTAGAAACGATGGTCAATTCACGTTACCAACTCAGCTGTTAAAACCAAATCATCTTATCATACCCCCAACGACGAAGCAACACAGTTTCTTTTGGAAACTTGCCCCCTTCAGCCAGTAAGTATTAGTAGAGGTTAATCAAATCAAGTCAAATAATATTAGTATTGATATTCTCCACACTGTTCCCTTCACATTTCCTATACTAATGACAAGGAGAATATGTGTGACAATCACGATCTTCTTAAATTGATGATCATTTCCTACAGTGAATAATTTCCTACGGTGAATAATTTACCTTCTCTCCCGTCACTCACAAAGTTCTCAGTCATCAGGACAACACCAGCATTCTAAGAAAACAAGAAAAAATAATAACAAAATTATCGCAACCTTTAAGTTCCAGAGAATCTAAACAGGAGAAACTAAATGGCTATACTTTTTTCTATCAAAGCATGCAAGTTCATTTTAGAAACATACCCAGAGGTGATCTGAGAAAAATTTCAAAGAGTGGTCATGCCCTTAACTTGTGAATGAATCAGTTTTCACGTCACCAACTCCATCAAACGAGTGAAATATTTTCAAACTTCCCCTATTGTTTCAGTTTTCAAATCTAGTATGCCAATCAACTCTTCAAAAGCGTTAAAACAACTTTCAAGTGTCGCGTCCCTTAAGAAATGGATTAGCATATGATGAAGATTTCCTATGCGCTTGTGACAATACCTTGTAAATTAAAGAAATCTTTTGTTCACTTTTAGTCGAGCCTGTATTACTACTAACCTTAAAAATGTCTTTGTTGTTCCGTCCTCCTCCTACACCACAACCAAGATCAAGTCCCTCTATGGTCTTAAAAATCTGGGAAAGAAAACACCAAAGATTCACTTACAATATAATGTTTGCTACATTCAAGGCGGCTCCAAATCCAATCACTAGGACTTTACGAACCGTGATTGTTACGTAGAGAATTCAGAGAAGTGTACACCCGAGCCAAGTGGCCCGCCCAGGCGGAGCTTGTCCCAGTTTCCGTGGCATCAAGCGACTGGGAGTATCAGTACACCCCCCTGGATGGGTTGCAGGTCCATCTCAAGGTGGATAAATCATACTCCGTCATAAGGGTCACCGGGCTCGTATATAAATCACCGGCTCTTACGACAAACAACTAACTGTATTGATGGCATTATATACCATTGCTATGGCGACTGATTAATTTGAGAATGAGGTTATCAGAGATTCAATTTTCCATCAAGCGTAATAAACTAGATTGAAGCACTCATTTGAAAAACCACATAATCATTTTTAAGATCAATATATTGATTTATATTTTACAGATGTGAAATAACACTGTTTGTGCTTAACTATTGTTACACTTTGTGCGTCGCGCTTTTGTATTTTGTGTTTGAAAGCCGAAAGCTCACGCCCCATGCATGAGTACCCTCGAAGGGCAAAATAATCCTCTCTCTCTTCGTAGGAGGGCTGAATCAGCCATCTTAATGAAAAACAAAACCAATGAAATAAAAACACAGACGAATTGTAGCATTGTAAAGCGACACCACTCACCCTGTCCTTAGTAAGTCTGTTCTCGTTTCTCAACAGGTACACACTTTGGTCCACACTCAGAAGACCCAGACGTGTCCCTTGTGGGGCCCTGACTTCCAGTTGGTAATGTCTTCCAGGGTCTTTTTTCACTTCGTTGAGCTGCACGAAGGACCCATCGGCCTGCTGTTGCCACGAATCTGGAAATTCGACCTAATGTTGACAAAATGCGATAAGTATTGTATAAGTATTAGGAGTATAGACAGTGTAGGTATAAGGAGATGATATGGGAAAACGGGGGTCTCTGTTAAAACGGCTTGTTAAAAAGTGGCAATTTTCACAGAAATGAGTATGGTGGTTGGCAGCTCACGGAGGTAAGAAAGATAAGTAACGAATTACAATGTATCAAATATTCATTTCTCTTTCTATGCAAAACTTTTGGGAAGATCGCTGTTCTAAGTCATCCGAAAAATCGAGATACAAGCAGTCATCTCACAATTCACCAGATAAAAAAAACCCTTTCACAGATGTTGAAAAAATCCCCTCTTGCCCGCATTTCACCATATCCTTTTCTCGTTACCTCGGTTGGAAGTTTGTCATCAATTCTGAGCAAAATGCTGTCAGCTACAACGCGTTCGTTGCTGTCAATGTAATAACCAATCAAACGTGCTGATGGTGACATTTCAGAAGTGACACGGAACGACCAACTTTTAAACATTCCGTCAAAGTTGTCTGTTGTGTTGTGAGAAATAATTCGTCCTCGAGACACAACCTGAAAGAGAACTTTTCAGATTAGAAAAGCAGAAACCAGATGCTACTGGAACTGTAAGGTGAATAACGGTTATCCATCCGAAAAATGAAGAAAGTGTAATATCAGTTTAGTGAGCTTGCAACGAGAGGAAAGATTCAGCTCCCCTACAAAAATCACCTTTTCACTTCCAGAAGTGACCAAGAAGTTATTATGTCCTTACAGTATCAATACAAAATTATGCAGAAAGGTAATGAGAGTGTACAAAACTATCTATTGGAAAGTTTTCTTTTTTTATTCAAAACTAAATTCTCAGAATTAACATTGTTAAAAATGCATGGCAAAAAGAAAGGAGAATTGCTATGTAGATCTAAGGAGTAGTAGGATAATGTGTGGTTTATCATCCTCTACATTATTCCCAGACCTTCCCATAAGTAAACTGAAAAACATGGCAAACGCAAGAACTAAACCTACCGCAAACGAAAGTTTGGCTGCAGCGTCGTTGCGGCTTCGATAACTTTCACACTGTATTTTACGGCCAACCTACCGAAAAAAAAAGTGAATGTGAAATATGAGCATATTTCTCACCTTACGACTTCTTTGGTTTAGAGCAATCTGGGAGTAGAAAATAACCCAGGACTGCATTGGCTTTGCATCGCTGAAATCGCTTATGTGAATGGTCATCAATACTGTGCTATCCTCTCAATCAATCATGAGCAAAAGTCAAAACCGGTAGTGACCTAGTTACCCGCGTTTTCCCGCGTTTTCCCGCGTTTGGAGTCGTTTTTACGTATTTTCGTTTAAACTCTTATTGTTCCCTTGTGTAAAACTAAGAGCAGTCCCTCCGAAGTCCAGTGTTCCGCGTGGCGCGCTAACATCAACTTTCTTTCACTGACGTTTTGACTCGCGCGCAGGACTTCGCCGGAAAAAAAGTAACTGCGCATAGATCATCCCTTGTGATGACGTATTTTTCTGATCGGTAACAGCACGTTTTATTTCACGAACCTCAAACAAAAAGCTCTCTATCAAACTATTCATGGACCAAGCTGTAAAAAAACCTACTGAAGCGCTCTCATCAGGACCACAAGCTAGGTCGAATAGTCTCATTTGGCTATTTTGGTAGCTGCTAAAATCATGTTTATCCCTTTTGATACAATCTGTACATAATTGCAGAAAGACATATTTGCTAACATATGTGCAGTTCTAAAATGAGCGATCGACAAAATTGTGGTGTAGTCTTATCTCAGCTGGTATAGCCTTGCACTGCTATCCGGGAATCACGAGTTAAAAATCTTATGAAAGCCATGTGTTCATTTGCCTTCGAGACTTCTCTTCGAGCTCCTTTCGATTGCGAATATCACGCGGGGATTTTTAAGACAAGTGGTGTAAAAAAGCTGTTTACTGCCAAAAAAATCTTAAACTTTAAATCACTGAGCGTTGACCGGACAATCAAAGTTACCTTTCCATGTGTCAGCTGACGAACCATAATCAGCGGTCCATTTTCTGCGTCAAATGGGTTCACAATCAACCTGGCGACTGCATTCTGTTGAGGAGTTAGGTTCTGATTGTCCGTTTTAACCTAATCAAAAAAGACATGAAATAAGCTCCACTTTCCCATTAAATCGTACATAAACCTCATAGTTATCAATTTGTCGATTAGGAACTGCGGCGCATTTTGCGGGCTAAAATGGAGACATTGGCGCACTAAAATACGCATGCTCACGTGATTGTTCAGATTGTTTTGTTGTTGTGTTTTTTTTTCTAAAATGACTCTCGGCCGGACCGAAAACATATTTCTTAACTCCATTGTTTTAATACAGAGAGAAAACACTCCTCCTGACTAATCAAAGAGGATTTTTGGGGGGTGGTGGGTTATTATTTATATCAATACTGAAATCTTAGTGTTTCACTCTTTCGCAAATATATTTAGAAGCTTTACCCAAACTGGATATTACATACACTGAAGATCAATCCTTACTTCTTCCACATACTGTTTCATAAAAAACACCGTCAATGTGACCCTAGAAACATAGCTCAGGTAGCTCATTGAATAACAGCCAAATTTTTTTTGATTCAAATCCATCTCAATCCGGAATGATTCAGAATGGCTCTCGGTGAACACAATACACAATTTTCTTATTTTTGTATTCTAAGAATTAGAAGATGAGCTTCCATAATCTGGTTGAATTACTGTGTTTAATCTTACCTTAATATTAATTTCCGCACAGTTTGAACAAGCATCCACCACAAACTCAACCTCTCCATTTTCATCTGTCAAGTCTACCACATTGGGGTCTCGATCCTCTCTCTTCAAATCGATTTCGTTATTTCCCTGTTTCCCTTTGGCAGAAATCAGCATTGGAACATTCTTAGCTGGCTTTGTGTTGGGATAGGTAACAACAGCCTAAAACAAAATTGCAATAATATTAAAATCTGCCAATAACTGTCAGATGTAATGCTCTACTACTCTCATATGAAGAAACTAACGTATGGAAGTAAAGACCCTTTCTACAGGCTACAACAGTTCGTTCGCTTTTCATTTTTATGACAAAACACCTGACTAGCACACAAATCATCCTTTTCACAAACTTTACTTGATTTTCTTATACAAGACCTCCGCCTGTCCTCTGTTGGGCTACACAGTTTTTAACCCTTTGCACCCTAACATCAGGATACAAATTCTCCATACTGTTCTGTGTGTGTTTCCTATGGTACTAATGAAGAGAATTTGTTTAACAATCCAGAGCTTCTTTAGTTGGTGATCATTTCCTTTTAATTCTCATAACCTCAATGTTTGTTTTAGGGGTGATACTAATAGGAGAAAATAGTTACTAATCACTCTTAGGGATTAAAGGGTTAAGACAAAGTATGAAGGCTTGAAGACTAAATTTAAATGCAAATTCACCCCCTGGAAACAAATACATGTACCCTCTTTAGAGGAGGGGGAGACATTTAACACCAGAAGATTGCCAAGATATGGTCATTTTAACCAATTATAGGTTTTGTTTCCATCTCAAAGACCTTTTATATTACAGTTCTTACCTTCACTACATACCGCAATCCTGGTTTAAAATATCTTGGTGTGTTCTTAAAGGCAATGCGGTAAGGGCTTGATGTAAATTGGCATGTTCTATCCTCAACAGTTGCCTTGTTACCAGTCACTGCCTCAACAACATCAACCTGAACCAGAAGTCTGGCTTTCAACGGGAACCAGATATTCCCAGGAAGGTCTCGAATCATCTGGATCCGTCGTGGGACGGTAGTAACTCCACTGCTGTGAAGCTGAGTCAAGAAAGGAGAGAGTTGAATGGTGAGACATGGACAAATGTTGTTAAGAACAATTTTGTTCCCACAAAGCCATTTTATCTAAGGTTTCTGCTTTAATGCACATTTCATTGGAAAAGAATGAAAGCACTTAACAAACTAGTCAATTAAAAAAATCAGTCACTTATTCAAGGACTGAGTCATTCAGTTGGTCGGTCAAACAGTTAGGATCAGTCTGTCTATCAATCAATCAATCAATCAATCAGTCAATCAATCAGTCTGTCAGCTAGGCAGTTGGTGAATGAGTGAGCGAGTCGGTCAGTTGGACAGTTTGATCAGTCAGTCAGTCAGTTGGTCAGTGAGTCATTCAGTCAGTCAGAAAGTAAGTCAGTCAGTGAGGCAGTTAGATGGTCTGTCAATCAGTCAGCCAGAAAGTTTGTCTGTCAGTCAGTTAGTCAGTCAGTCAGATTTGCATTCAGTGAGTTGATTTATCTATAAGTTGGGATCAACCACTTGCTAAGCATGTAAGAGAGTGAGTTTCAGTTGGTGCATCAATCAGTAAATCAGTCACCCAGTTAGTCAATCAGTCAAGATCAGTTAACAAATCAATGAGAGAGCATGTACCGGTAAGTGAGTGACCAAGTGAGAGAGTGAGTCTGTCAGTCAGTGAGTCAGTCAGTCACTAGCCAGTCAGTCAATGAGTCAATGAGAGAACAGGTGAGTGAGTGATTGAGTGAGTGGGTTATTGAGTCAGTCAGTCAGTCAGTCAGTCAGTGAATCAGAGTCAATTAGCCAATCAATAAATAAACCAAGTAGTCTGTTGAGTCTATCAATAAACTCAGCAATCAAAGACAATCAGAAGTCACTGTGTCAATCTAATCTTTTTCCTGTGTTACAACTTACTATAATGGTTTGCGCATCAAACTTTATAGTTTGACCATCAACACCCTCAATAAACAAAGAATATGTAGCACTTCCGAGAACAGGTTTCCCATAAGTGTACCTAAAAAAATACAAAATAGGGCAAAACAGCTAAAAAAGAGATTGGTGACTCATTGATGCAAAAGTAACATCATGCAACAAGGAAGGAAAGAGGTTAAACACTGACAGATAACTTGTTTTTTAGATTTTTTGTTTATCTATATATTTCCTAAGACTGGAAATTTAGAAGTAAGGCTTAACTCTACCCTGTTAATTTCCTATTTATATCCTGACATTGAAATATGGGATACTGCTAGTGGGCCACTCCCTCTAGCTGTGATTCCCTGATATAGACCCAGTCCCTCACTATCACAGCAGAGCTCTGTCAGGGGTTTTCATTATATGTTATGTGGTTTCTTTGTGTAATATTTTTGCAAGAGCTGAGTGATAAGATTATAAGATTTTACTCTAGAACCAAAAAACCCAAACGATTCAAATCCAACAAGTTTTGCCACTATGTGGTTACCACACTAGCATCTTTTATCTGCTATATTATGGTGAAAATTAAGAAAATTTTATCAAAAGAGTTAAAGAGAAGTAAAAATAAATTGAGGAGAAAAAAAGGAAAAGGCCAACAGCCAGACATATGGTAAATTAGCAAGAAAATTACTCCAGATGAATTTTAAAATTTGTTGCTTTAGATCCAGCAAAGAGTTATTTATTTAGCATTTTTAGCTTTTTCTATGTTTCCCTTTATTGTTGTCTCCTCTCTCCCTTAGAAAACGATAATACTGAAGTTTCCAAAATGTTTTAGTAAAGGCCTAGCAATCAAATAGTACTTTAAAGCGCAGTGGTAGAATTTGGAACACAGAATCCAAGGGACTGATATTTCATCCTTGCAGGGGATACTTAATGTTTCCTTTTCCCTACATTGTAACTAGATGAATAAAATTTTTCTTTTTTTTTTTCATGACCAAGCTCGAAATTTACCATCTTTCCCATTCTATGTAAGATATTCTTTGAAAAATGAAACAGAGCTACTTTTTATTTTAAAGTTTCTCAGTTTAGGATAGTGTTTGTTTTTGTAAGCAAAAGCAATCTCTTACCTTGCAGTAATATTGATCCCGAATGCATCGTCTGTTTTCAGTATGTAAGGTGGCACTGAGACTTTCACTGAAAACTTGGGGAGCACTAAAATATTAAAGAAGTATGCATATCTATTAGCATGAAAAATACTAAGGAACCTAATAAGTATTTCAGAATATCCTTACCATATTCTTTAACTTCAAACTGCACAGAAGTGTTGTGGATGTTCTTTAAAAAAAATGAAAAGAAAAAAAAGAAAAACAGAATAAATAAAACGAAATTCAGTTGATGACCAAGTGTACTTTGGCTTCTCTTTACTTCATGTGACTGAAATCATTCTGTTTCTCAAATTGAAATCTGTTTTGTTTTAATGGCATTCTCATTGACCGGGTAAGAGGTGTGATTCAGAGAAAAAATAAGTTAGAGATCTGGAATACCTGGTGACCGTAAACGGCTGTTATGGTCCAATTACCATGAAGTATAAAGTCGCCCAGTTCGAGCCTTTTTGATATGATACCTTGAAAAGAAAAGAAATAAATAACTTAACTATGTCAAAATTAACATTCATCATCTGAAACACACTCAAATCAACCAACCTTACCATCATTTGCATTGCTTGATAGCTAGATATTCGAAAGACTAGTTTACCAAGTATTTAAACAGTACAGTCATCTTACACGAATCGCGGGGCCGTAAAAACACGTGAATCATATTTTGAAGGTTACTACATCTTCAGAGGCCAGCCGCCATTTTGAAATAGCCCAACCATAAACACGTGACCAAAAACAACTGGGGTCTAGTTTGATCCACTACTTCAGTTCGCTGACAACCAAGTGATTAAGAAAAATTAACTATTTAGCCCTCTTATCTACTAGCTAAGTTCTCGAAACACTTTTCGAAATACAATTCTTTCATAAAAGTGAAGGTGATTTAGGCCTACTTGCAAGTTTCAAAAAGAGGATGTGAGCCGAACACGTAGCTTCAAAAGGAAAAATGGACAATTTGCATGAATGATGTGACCTTCTTTACAATCTCCCTGAATGTTTGACAAGGAACAATTCAAACCTGTAGTGGTGTCCAAGTCTTTCCACTGTTGTACACGGACACCCTGTGGATTCTAGAAAACAAAAGAAAGAAAGAAAAAAAAAAGGTTACACGCTTAGGACCAAATTCTAAACTCTAGTGAACAAAGATGATATAAATTATTTTCCAATAAGGCTTAAAAGTTTTGGTTAAAGGAATGTGCTGTGATCAACGAATTCATCGTCGTTCAAGCACTCAGAGAGAATTAAGCAAAGGACATTGTTTATAACAAGACATTTCGTGGCGAGGGGGGCAATGGGATTTTTAGCTTTCACGGCTTAAGCTATTTTTTAGATCGATTTTTTTTCGGTTTTTGTTCCAAAAAACTTAGGTTTTTCGGTTTTGGTGTTCATTGCGGTTTGCGGATTTTCTGTTTTTTAGCATTTGGTATCCGATGTGGTTTTCGGTTCTTCATTTGGGTTCAAATTTCATTCGATCTGAGCCATCATGTCTCCAGCAGCAGAGCATCGATCTTAAACAAACCAAAGAAAAAAGATGAAAAAAAAAAAAGATAGTTAAGATGCTTACCATGACTACCACGGTAATCTATATCAAGGAAAAAGGAAAAAAAAAGAAAAAAAGTTAGTACGTTCTTCGAAAAAAATTAATTGGACATGATTGGTCGTTGTTCATCAAGGTCCTTCAATTAAAAAGAGAAACAGAGCTACACAACAGCTAACTTTGCATTATAAAGGGTTTAGGTTTGGGAAGAGGGCTTCCTAAACCCTCTGTTACGAAGGAGTGATTCCAGAGCAAATAGGATTTGATTGCCGTACGAGTTTTATGAAACCTAAGTTGATTCGGATGGGAAAAGAATATCCAAGAACCACTGGGAGTAACATGTGATTGATGTACTCACCTTCCTCCTTGATGGCTTCATATCAAACTCAAGCGGCATCACTCTGATTTTCACTGTTTAATAGAATGAAATTTGGGTTAGATTCAGTTCATTATACGGGGGAGGGTAGTCGTCTACCTTCATGAATTTTTTTTTTTAGGTTTGGGTCGAAAGGCGGGGGTCAATCGCAACATCTTACCACTCTGTCTTGGTGTGTAGACGGGTTTGTCAGTCTGTATGAATACCACCCCGTCTTTGTAACTCAAAAGAATCTTCGCTTCTTTGTGAAACTGAAAGTGGCCATCATCTGACTTTGCAATCAAATAAATATACTGTTTATCTACGGAACTGGGATCTGAAAGGTCCTGTGGGTCCACCTGCGAGGGTCAAAGAAACGGCAGTTAATGGAAAAACAAAATTATACTTTCATGAAACCCCAGATAGTATCTACTATTTCATACCTGAATCATAGAGCCCTTTTTTCTCTCAACAGGCCCATGCATTTGCCTTTAAAATGTCGGTATAAAAAAACGATGTTGTTTACCTAAGGAAACACTAACAGTGAGCCAGCACCCACTTTCCCCTGAATTTAGACAACACTTGCAACATAAATTACCCATTACAAGTTAAACTGATCAAATTGTCGTACCTTTATGGGAAGAAAAATGCTTTTATCTGAAGAAAAGAAAGGAAAATAATTAGAAATTTGACAATCGGGATTGTCGCATGAAAAAAAAAACACTTTTTTCTATTAACCAACGTTAAGTTACCGTTTGTCACAACTCCTTGCACTTCTGAGAATGTCTTTTGTCTATGTGGATAGTCTTGTAAGTATAACTTCACTGTCACCGGTTGCGGTGCGTCGAACACCGTCACTGATACCTTCTCCTGGACACCAATGTGAAACATATTGGGAGCCATTATAGAAAACCTGAAATGATAACAATTGAAGAATGAATAATAAATCTTCCACCAAATTCACGACTTACTCCTGGGATCCGGCGCTTCGTCTCCCGCATTCTTTAGAAAAAAACTTAAAAACATCTAATCTCAACGACTAGTAATTCTACTATGGACTGTTATGCGGCTTGTCAACACGTTGTTTAGTATGTCGATCGTCTAAATATATTTCTCTGATACTAATTATCATGGAACCTAAGGTTAAAAGCCTCAATGTTTTTTTTATAATTTCTCGCAAATGATATTTTTTTTGTCTTCTTTACCAATTTCTGTAAATTGTGGTAATATTACATGAAATGGCAAATAAAATAAGATAAAAGAAAAAAGGAAACAAAAAAGATACGAATAAAACGCTTGTGGCTTAATGGAAAGAAGCAGAAAAAAAATCACAGATTGGCAACGCGAGAACATGTTGTTACTGATGCGTGTCATAAATGAGCAAAAATTTACAAGTGGGTTGAATTGAACGCTTAATGGGTTTATGTGACAAATCTATAAGACGTCCTTCTCGACTACGCACCCTCTCCTCTCCCATTTCAAAACGGAAACCAAGTAAATGACGAACCTCTCTTAATTAGTATTCCATTCGCGCGAGATAAATGGAGAGATGCACGGTTACAGTATACGGATTATTATTTTTTTTTTGCTTGTTCAAATGAAATCTAGCTTTAGTAAAGGGTTTGACATAAAGCTGTCAGTATAATGTTAGAAAATTTGAATATATATCGTATTAGTGTAAGAAAAAAGTAATTTGTTATGACATGTAGAGCGGCACTCTTGCAGAGAAATGAAGTAAACACCCTTTTAAAAGTATGAATAAATCCATAAATAAGATTCTAATTAAAAAATTTAACAATCCGTGACGGTTCGTCTGAATTCGCAATTTTTTTGCCTGGCTAGAAAAGCCAAATGCTTAAAACCCTCATGAGCTCCCGATGTTTGAGAAAAACAATACTTTTACTTCCTGAGACGCCTACGCGGTGATTGGAAAAACAAGATTAAAATCAGCAACAGCAGTTCAGGACAAGAAATGAACAGGACCTAATGCTAGAGGAAGTCGAAACACAGCTTGAGATCGGATCTGCACTCTCGCATATCGGATAGGGTTTCACGTGCCCTGCAAAAAGGATACCCCAAATGAGTTTCATATTGTGTGACCGCGAGATTTCTTCTTTCGCCGTCTCCCGACCATTCTGAGAACTTTTGCCAATGTTTAATTGCAACAGAAGCTCAACAGCCCACTCACGAGAAGGTTCACTTCCGGTTTCGCAGCAGTTTATTTTTAATTCTTTTAACTGCCAATTAACATCTGGAAGATTTAGCTAGACACTCGTCTATTTCCAAACATCAATTCCCGATGGAAAATAATTGAAAGCTTTCAGTGCTGATTGAATTAGTCATCATTATCATTAGTTAGAAAATTAGTCCAAATAAAACTATCCTTCAATCAAATTAACTAATTTGTATTTCCGGTTTCAAAGCATTTTTAGCTCTAGGCATGAAACGGCCCACGTAATGCCCTGTCACTCAAGCATAAAGGTTGCACATCGGCCAATTTCTTTCTTCATAGAAAACGTTTCAGTTCGATCCGGTGCATACATACACTTCAAAGCGCATTCTTCAGAGCCCTTGCGAACTAGGTGGCCACAAAAATCACCAATTACAATTTTATTCTGGTATGCTTTAAAATATCGTTCTTTGCATCTAATATTTCTCGCCAGTTAGGAGCGCAGGTCAACGCTTTCGCAAATTAACACGATGTTCATGAACTGAGAAAAGTATTATGTCCGATATTTTAAATTCAAGAGGGCTTCTTCCCACGAGCTAATTTTTTTGGTGCTCTCTCAATTAGATGGTAGTCATTTGTCTAGAAGCACGTCGCGCCGTTACCTTTCACGTTACGGTTGACGACGCACTTGAGCTCAAATAGTTCAGCCCAATTTACCGGCTTTGATTGAAAGTAAAAACTCGTTTTATAATATTATGGCTTTTGTGGCGGACTTGCATTCACTTTCAGTGAATCGACGTAGTGGATAAATGCTGAAGCGTGATTACCCAACATTTTGCAGTTTGTGTTACTGATACAATGTGAGCCGAAACTAATGAATCCAAAAAAGATCAAGACAAAACCAGAGACCTAATCGCTGTAGAAAGACCAATTTAACTAACCTTTTGGCTGCTACACAAGCCAACGCAAGCAGAAGTACTGTCATTCGCAGCATTGCGCCGAGAAGCTCCGCCATCCTTGTAGCAAAGCTTTGGAATAATGAAACTCCTTCCTGCAGTGCTGTGGTTATAAGGCGTGATGTGATCTGCTGAGACGTGCCTCCTGGATGCATCAAATTGCAGTGTTGACAGGTTAATCTTAATTTTCCTCGTGTTTCACTTTCTCTTTGTCGCGAAACAAGGAAAAGAATGTCTAAGGTCACGGCAGAATAACTTCCTTTCGGATCTGATTGGAGAATAGTTCCTAGTTTTGAATGCATCACACGTACAACATCGTAAGTGAGAATTAAAATCACATTATGAGCTGTAAGGCTGCCCCTGATGTTGTCAATTAAGGGAGTAGGCAAGTATATGAGGGGAAATTTGGTAAACACTACTTAGCTCCATGTGTCGAATGACCACCCGTCCCCCACATGAACTCTAGGATATAACTTCTCGTATGGATAAATTAATATAACTCATTAGCGTAATTGTTACACCTTCATGCCCAGACTTAACAGGCTGAAGCAGTTGTTTAATAAAATGTCAGCAATACGTAATAACGAAAACCTCCAAAGTGTCCCATCCCTGGAATAATCCACAACGTCGAGAACGAAAGCCCCTTGGCAGGGCTCGAAAGGAAAAAGCTTTGGGGCACTGATATTTTACTTCCCCTTGTGAAAAACTAGACTCTCACTCAATATTTTTTATATGGCGACAAAAATGTAATGGGAAGTCCGTTTTTTCTGGGAATTTATACAAAACGCGTGTAAGAGGAATATATTATTTCCGTGGCTGCCTTCCATCAACACTTAATTAAGTATATTTTTGTTATAAAAATATTTAGGTAACTGACACCAGTGATTTTCATAGATATTTCTCCTGGAACAAAAGGAATTGCTATCATGGAGAATGTTCCAAGTCAACAGGAAAAATCATCCAGGACTAAGGATTTCCTCAATTTGTCCCATATTGCAATGTGATTTTACTCTATCAGTTCAACACGGTTGAGAAATGAAATGGAATCTATGTTTGATCACGTAGGCACACGGTTTGTTTGGCAAAACTCCATGTATTAATTTCCATTTCAGCTTACTTTTAGTTCCATAAGAAGGGCACCTGATTTCACAATACAAATGAGTAATACTTTTTTTTTCAGGAGATCATGAATACCTCCTGTGTAATAGCCTTAGTAAAATGCAAAATGAAATGTATAATTCTTACACTATGAAGCAACCTGGTTAGTAACGTTATCGAAATAAATCAGAGACAATAGACAGCTCTCAGCTATAAGGTTTCTTTCCGGATTATCTGAAGCGTAGGATTAAAAGGAAATAGTGGCATGATGTTCCTTAACCTTCAGCAGCCGCGACAACTAGACCATGACGTCATCTATGTATTTCGGTGTTACATTCACAGTGTACTCTCCCCGCGGCTCTGAAACGAGAGCATCGCGAATATACCTTTAAAACCACTTCCCTGATTTAGTTGAGTGGTAAAATCAAAACTTTATTGGGTAAAGTAGGCATGCAAAGATGCAAGGGAGGGAATAAAAACAAAGTGAGTCGCCTTGTCTCAATAATGGAAAAATTCGTGTCAGGTCAACATCCTGTGACAAATCCGTTTCGTTCTCGACTCGCGCGCGTCGTGGCTCCTCGCGGGAGTTCATCCGCGTCCACACGCTCACTCGCACACTCAATCAAGCCTTACAACGAAATTAACTCGTAGAAAGGCCACCCAAATATACCCTATAACCTCTAAGTTCTAATTGTTAATTCTTCCCTCTAGCCGCTACACATACCCTTATAAATAGTTACGAGATTTTGGTTTTAGATCAAGAAAACCTCTACCAGATGCGTTTGAGTATTCTCATTACCTAAGGGATATCACGGGGAGAAGTTACATGTTAGTCACTTCTTGTACTTACCCTACCCTCCCCTGTAGTTCCTCCTCGCTGTTCTATTCTCGAGCAACTGACCTCTAAATTGTATCGAAGTGACGATGAAATGATCTGCAAGCGACAATATCCCCTATAAGATACCTTGGTTAGTACATTACACTTCATCCAGTGTAAGTTATATTCAAACCCGTAACTGATCCTCGTATCTCGACTGTAGAGCTTGTGTCGAGGAAAGCAAGAGGAAATATATATGAAGCTTACTTATTTTTACCATACTCAGGGAAGTGTTTCCATCTTTCGAAGAGCTACCAATGAGACTAAAGAGTCAGTTTAACAGAGCTAATTCACTTGTCCATCTTATAAATCCAGCTCATCTTTCAATGTCTTAATGTCTTTTCCGCCCTTTCATTCCGTTTATGTTTATTCTTGCTCCTCAATTTGTCATCCTTGGCGAGTTGTTATAGACAGGATCACTTACAATCAATGGCAATTTCAATCGAGTTTCAGCTAAACGTACAAAGGATTTGAGAAAAATCTCTATGATATAACGAAAAAGAAAACTTCAACAATTCAATCGCTGCCATTACTTTATTACTAATTGACTTATTTATCTAAAAAATTTTATTACTAATTTACTTCTTTATCTAAGAAAAAAAACAGCAAGATACCGCTGAGCCCATTATCATCTGACATCAAGTTACAAGGATAAAAAAAATTTGCTGCCATCATTATTCCATTTAAGGAAATTTTTAAAAACATATTGAAGGCTTCATTATCAGAGTACACTTTTCTTTAAAATCGGGGCTTTGGAATCATAGTTACATGTATGAATATCGTCTGTCTACCAAAATCGATTATTCTCCTTTAAAGTTTGGTACCTTGTCACGTCCTCTTATATCCTCTTATAATGAAAAGTCATTGTTAACAAAAACTGCTGTCATCATTTCTTAAAGACACTGAGTGCATTTCAATTACAGATCTAGGAGCAGCAAGACTATAAAACAAAGTAATCACTGTGGCCCATTAGTAAAAAAGAATCGTCAAAAGGGAACAGTAAAAGCCTTAAACAAGCAACAACTCATCGTGGGCAATGGGTTGGAGGTTGACTCAATTTCAATAAAAACTTGAACATTTTTCTAATCTTTATAATGTTTCATTTTTTGCTTTATCCAGTCGATAAATGGATGTACTTTAGTGTAGTATCCGTATTGCCCCTTAACCGCGCATCCATCGCCCCAACTTACAATACCAGCGGCGACCCATGCAAGGCGTTTGCCATTTTCTACTTTTGTATCTCGAACGTATGCTCCACCGCTATCTCCTTGGCAAGTGTCATTTTTGCCCTTACCATCCCCTGCGCAAAATGTTATGGCAGAGTCGATTTTAAGGCTTGCTTTGTTCACACACAACCGGTCATCTTGGATTTGAAAAGAAGCATGTTTCAGCACTTCTGATGAGTCGAGAGTCTCAGCCCTTTCTCCAATTGGAACATGTTTTGTTCCTCCCCATCCCGCCACTGTGCCGTATTTGCCAGGAGTTGCCAAATCTGGTTCACCCTTCTCAGGCAAACACACAGTTCGCACAAACGCTTTCAATTCAAACGGCGGCTCGACTTTCACAAGAGCTATATCATTTCGGAACGAGCTGAAGTCAAAATCGTCGTCATAAGGAATTATTTTCTTAGGTTTTCTTTCTTGCGTGGTCTCTTTATTTCCCTTCCTTGTTAAGTTATGGACACCAGCGTACAAAACGTATCTGAGAATATTATAAGAATAGGTGTGACATTACACTATTTTGCGTCAGAATCAAAACGAGAACTTTGCGGTACTGATTTCAGTAGCTTTTAGACCAACAGCGAAAAAACATTTTATTTTTTGATGGCCCACTTTCTGTCACACACGAGAACAAGAAAAACATGAGCTTGGAATACACTGAAGAATAGGGGAAAAATACCAACAAAAGTAGTGCAAGAAAAGGCCGGATTAAATGATCCAAACTTCCACTTACTAATATCCTTAATGCATAGCTTTTGAACGAGGAACTTTCAACTGAATTATAATTTTTTTTTTCGTACAGAGAACTTATATCGTTTTGTTTGATCTAACTATAACACTATAATGATCAGTATATGAATAAAAATCAGAGCATGGTGATATTAGACAGGAAGACAGACAGACCCATGGAAGGGTTGATGGAAGGCGAATGGATCAACTGTCAACGAATGGAGGAACTGATGGGCGAGGTGAATGGCAAGATGGATGGAAGGAATAAAAGGAAAAGGATAAGCATTTGAATGGATAACGAACAGATGGATGGTTGAATGAATATATGGATGCATTGACTGGGAAAAGATCAGTTGGTCTACAACTCACGAGGACGGGCTGGTAAGTCTTCGGACCTCGTTTTTCTCCTTTTTAAAAAAGCAATGAGCGGCAGTCAAAACCCACTGACGAGAAATAAGGGAACCACTACAGTGGAATTTCTGTTGTCCGGCCCAATCATAGTCTGAAAGAAGACGAAATTAAAGTTGAGTTAACAGGTTTTATCGCTAGCACGCTCTTGTTTTTGAAATTTGAACCTAAATACTCTACTCTACTCTGCACTCAATTGCAATGACATGCAAAGCGCTTTGAGCGCTTTGCCAAGATCTGATTGTTAATTCTCCCTCCAGTTGCTACACATTTCTTTGTAAACTAGTCAAGAGAATTCTGTGTTAGATCAAAATAACTTCTACTTGATAAGTTTTCATATTCTCAATACCTGTCTGGTAGATAAAGTATGGATATTATAGGGAGAATTAACATCTTAATCAATGCTGAGCTCTCTGTGTCAGCAGTTTTTCTACTTGTTTGTAGAATAGAACACTTAAAGCATTTTTTTAAGTTATTAAAATTAATCTAAACTTGTGGAAAAAAGGAGGCACTTCAGTACTGTCTCATGCATCTTATTTCTTCTTACAGTATCGCTTCTTAATCAAACATCACGAGAATATGGGAAATGATCGCAACTGAAAGAATCATTCGATTGTTAAACAAATCAGCTTCGTCAGTAATATCTATAAGAAATGGAAAATATGCATACTGATGTTAGGATGTGAAGGATTAAGGGAGAAGTTTGCTCCAAAAAGCATGTATTTTTTTACCTTCGAAATTATCCAGTGTTTAGATTTTTTTTTATCATGATTTGAGATTTCAGAGTGAACTGACCCTTCGAAAGAGCCGTCAATTATTGTAAATATCCGACTACTGACGATAAACTAGGTAATCTAGCAAACGCAAAACCACATCAGGATAAAGATTTATCCAGTGGATAGCGTTATCCGACCTTCGAACAACCGTGGCCGGGCAGTTAATTCAGGCGGTACGTTTTCAAGAGGTACTGCTCTGATTATCGCCCCCAGCCGTTTTTGCCTGATATGAATATTTACATGAAAGAACACACAATGAAATAAACTTTACTTGTGACGATGTAAATTGCAACTTGCCAGGGCCACCTTCCTCTCCTTGAAATTTCACCACTAACGATACGTCCGCGCAAGTCAAATTGACTTTCTCCACACGAAGAATAGTCTGTAAGAAAGTAAAATTTATAACGGTGGTAAGTTTCTAAAGAAACTGTGATATTGCTTCGGTGAGGGTGTTGTAAGATAATTGGATTTTACCAGCTGAGTTGAGCGTTTCGAGAGTTAGCCCTTCGTCCGAGCGAAACATTCCAAAGCCCAATTATCTTGTACGAAAGTACTACGCGTTTGGAAAGGGTTCGACATTGTCTCCAGGGTTCGGCACTCAACTTATTAGACAAGTACTGTATTCCAAGGAGGAGTGTGAAAACTAACTTTCCCTATTGAAAGGAAAGAATCAGTTCCGCTCGACCTTCTTCTTCCATACTCCTCTTTGGTCGCAACCTTCTATTTACCGATAAGAGGGTTCGATTGGCCAAACAAACACTCATACCCAATTCAAACCAGCAAAAAAAGTTCGGTTTAACTGCATGACAATTGAAAACAGAGATCTGCAAACCTAAATTTCCATAAGTTTCAAGTAATAACTAACTTGTATTTTGAGTGTGCTAAATTTCAGTTAACAAACATTGGTTTAAGCACCTTCTATAAGTAGACGACTTAAAACAAAAAAAGTTTAACAAAACAGTAATAAAATATGTTCAAGCTTTGGTGTGATCGGGGTATTTAGTTGATATGTCAAGACTTTTAAATCAAGGGAGCTTTAACTATACGTAACATTGAAGTATAAATTAGCAATATTTAGAATTTCAACAACCAACACAACTTACTAACATAGGTGTTTACTGCTTTGTCAATGACTCTATCAAGATCTTCATAAGTTCTGAGGCGTACTACATTACGCTTGCCATATGACGCTATTTGCCATAGTTCTGTTTGACGTACGTCCCTTCCCACTCCTTGTGATAATAAAAAATAAAGTTATAAAACTAATAAAAAAAAATTTCAGAACAAAAAGCGATAGAGCGGAGCAGCAAGCCCGGACCACTTGAAGTTAGAAAAAGCCCAATCGCGTGGCGTAGGAATCTTGACTTTAGCGAATGGCTGGATTTTGCATAGCAACATAAACATAAAAATAAAAATTAAAAAAAATAAAAAAAAACGCAACGCATTTTGGGAATGCAAAAGAAATTGATCAACGAGGAGCGTTCTCATTTTTTCAGAGAAGGTCTAGACTGTGCTTGAATGGGAATAGAAGTTACGAGGTCCCATGTAAATTTGGAAATAAGGAAACTAATATACTGTTTGTTTTAACCAGGAAGGTCTGACCATACAAAATTATGTTTTTGTATGGTCACAAAAGACCATGACGTGACCATGACAAAGAGCAGCGTTGATTTCTGTTAACGAATTCCTCTTGGTGAAGATTATTCACTAAAAAGTTGATTCAACTGCTTATCAAGGACTATGTGAATGAACCTAAGGTTAAACAGGTGAGTGAAATACTGCTACTTTAGACAAGGTCCTCTTACCAATAACATATATTTCAAAGTCATCTTCTTCGCGGAGTTTTGCCGCTAATTTTTGGGGAGGACCCCCCGTGTTTGATTTTCCGTCTGTTATGAATATCAGCACCCCATCGCTGCCAAACCTTTTGTGAGGGACCACTACATCTTTGACCTTTTTCAAAGCATCAGCTGAGGCAGTTGCTCCCCCTTCGAAACGTATGTCGTCAATAGCTGCAAGAGTCTTTTGGATTGTGCTGCCCTTTTCATCTCCCAAATTGAAGTGTAGTGTAACGTCTGTGCCAAATGTTACAGCCGCTGTCCTTATTTTTTTTTTGAAAGCCCTATAAGGGGGGAAAAGCTTCTACCGTGATTACTCTCAGAGAAATATAGGGGTACTGGAGCCTAGGGGAAGTGTTCCAAGAGTTAGAGATGATGAATTTTCAAGACTGCTCCAGGTTAAAAACCTCGGTGATGCTCTTATACACTTAGAGGTGCCGCCAAATTACGGTGAAACACGGGCACAAATTTACGGCCGAGGAAAAGCATAAGTTCAAGATTCCCAGGTCCACACTACATTAATACTTTTCTACAATTCAACATCTAGGAAGTGTCCCAAATTCAAGATATCTTGGGTCGGTTAAAAATACCGTTATACGCTGACACAAGATAATCAAAACTACAACAAAATTCTCGAACGTGATTAGTTATCACCAGCCCGATTTGAGCACTAATAAGGCAGTGTACGCGTCACGCTTGTAATTGAACAGTGTAATAGGACAGTTAAAGGGACAGTTAACACGTCATGCCTGTGTAAGTGGACAGAACGCGTCATGTGCGCACACTGTTGTCTCGCATTTCGCCGAGTCAACTTTTGCTGTTTTTTTTTAGGAAAATGTCTAACCGATGTCTAGTTTCTTTCTCAAATTTTGTCATAGCTTTGTAACAGGACTTCGTGTTCTTCAATTCTGTCTGTAATCATACTCGTGATTTTGTTAATCACTTGTATGATTACAGACCGAAATGGACTCCACTCAGTCCTATTACCATTACTTATCAAGTTAACACTGTATTGAAAGTTCAAGTTCACGCATGCGAGGATAACCGGCCCCAAATTGGAGATCCAATCAACGAGTTTGCTGGAAATGTTCAAATTTTTGCCCTTCTGTTGCAATACCTCTTAACATAGATGTGCGAAAAACTTCCGTCAGTAGAAAAAATTTTGTTGTTGTACTTGTGTTACTGATACAAAAAATGTTAAACATAAGTTAGGCATAACCCGGGCTGGCCGTCGCTTCTTCATGTTGAGTGTATTGACGAGAAATTTTCATCGTCGTGATTTCTCCCCTGGAAGGTTTGGTGGAAGATCATTCGAAGAGAGGAAAGCGATAATCGTAAATAATTTTCACGTCTACAGACTAGCCAGGTGCCCGAACACAAACATAAGGAAAGGTTAACTTTCAACCCGTACCTCGTGCTATTTGTTGAAAGGAATTTTACAAGCTTCTTCACAAATCTCAGACCAAGTTGAAACTTTTCTCTTGTTACGCTGGTGGAAGCATCAAGCACAAATACTAGATCTAACATGTTATCGTACTGATTGAAGATTGCTCTCCCGCGAGTATTCCCGGAGGAGTTCGTTGTATTGACACTGGTATACGTCAACAAGGTATCGATGAGATTCTTCCGAAGATTGAAGGCCGTTGTGTTAACATCTTCGAAACTGTCCTCGACTTTATCTAATTAAAAAAAAAAAAAAAAAGAAAACTTGAAAAGAGATTCAAATCTAAACGACAAGAAACATTCATTTTTGTTCAGGCCATATCCGTAGAACTAATCTATTTCAGTAAAACAACACTTTTTCTAACACAGAAACTCATGGAAAAAGTGGGCAGTATTCTATACCTTTACAGAAAGTCTCTGTGCCATTCCATGTCCTGTTCTCTCTACACACCCGCACCGCAGAACCTTTCAGCACAAATCCACGATTGCACTTGAATTTCACAATGTCTCCTTTGTTGTAGCTGCTACCGTACTTTCGTCCGCTTACGGGACTACCAAGAATCGGGCAATGGGTGTCTGAAAGAATATCATTTTTCAATCACTGCTTTCAATAAGACCCAGCACCCGCCGGAGCTCCGGCAGGTATTCTGTTGGAAATCGCCGGGTCAGCTGGGTATACTTTGTATGCTTTCAAGCAAACTCACGGAGTGAGGCCTAAAACACCTCGAGTTCTTCTAGAGTTCTTTCATTCGACTTTTACCTTTATAAACGACTTTTAATGAAAATGATTAATATTGTGTTATCATATATTCGAGCATACGTTTCATACATTTCCGGCGAAAAAATGATCAGTTAAACAATTGTTTTAAAGGAGACTAATACTTAATGATCAACTACGGAAGTAACACCGAAAACTTCTATTGAAGCCAATTTATTCTGAATGGAAGTTATGGGATATTAGTGGGAAATTGTAATTTATATTATTCTCCGGCGGGTGCTTCACAAATGTAGCCACCTTCTTCAATTCTTATTGAAAGCACTGTTCCATTCAAACTTCGTGTCTCTTCGGCCAAAAATAAACAGTTTAAAGAAATAATGGTTGCGATTCATCAACAGAATTTCCATCATCTGTTCATCAAATATAATCAAAATGGAGTTCAAGTTGTCTTACTTCCGGTACGTGGGGTACACAAGGGTAAAAATGATAATAGGTGGTGCAAAAACGTTTTGAAATTTAAAATTTGCGATTCGAGGACTTCTTTATCATAACTTGAAACGTTAACGTCACTTTGCTGTTATGCTGTTATGTGAGATGAGCCATTGTTCATTTCCGTAATTCAGATGTACCGATGAAAGACAATACAGCTTGTAACAATCATAGTAACCGGTAAAATCCACTTACTTCCGTTTTGACATGTAGTCAGAGATCCACTCCATTCCTTATTTTCCAGACAGGTTCTCACCGCTGAGCCGTGGAGTTTATATCCTGCTTGACAAGAGAACTGCATCGTACTCCCAACTGTTCTGTATCCAAATCGGTGACCTCCTTCTGGTCTTCCAGGATCAGGACAAACTTTCTCTGTTTGGATTTCAATTAGAAATTCAAAATAATGAATGAAATGGCATACTCCACATCATCCAGTGAACGGTTCAAATGTCCCAAAAAAAGCTCTCATGGCAGATAAGTCAATCTAAGACAGAAAAACGTGAAAAAAAAAACTAAACAAAACAAAACAAAAAAAAAATAAGGAAAATGATGGAAAGATATGAGTGATAAGGATGATGGCCAAAATCCGCCCTCCATGAATTTTTTCTTGTTTTGTATCACATGATACTTCCGCCCATTCTATTGAATGCCTCGGCTGGGTTTCACCAAATACACTTACTGCTACAATATGGCCACCGTCGAGGTATCCAGCCATTTTCCAAGCAACTGACTGTTTCAGATCCTTTCAACTCATAGCCTTCATTGCACTCGAACAACAAAGTTGCGCCATAAAAGAAATTGGTTTCATATGAAGTTATATTTCCATTTCGCATGGTTAGCTTTCCAGGATCCTCGCATTGGATTCCTGTGGAAATATATTGCGGGAGAGGAAAACATAAGAACAAATTTGACGTGGGAAGCAGGGATGAATATGAACAATGCAGAGGTATAGCATTTCTGTTTGAAATTTATCTGCTTTACACTGAAGAGGCTTGGGCCGTTGTCCACTGTAATTGTCATCAATATATGGTCACTTAATTGAGGTATTTGGAGAGATATGCCACTTCTTAAACTCGTTTTCTCGGTCTGTGCTGTCAGTTACAGACTGAGTTTTTTCTGCTCGAATTTATGGCTTAAGCGTGAAGCGCGCGAGCCATAAATCCGAGCGGAAAAAACAGGGTTCCATAACTTATTGTGCAAATCAGTACAAATAGAGGGTGAAAATTTCAATTCAAACAGACTTTGGAATTAAGTAGGCCGCAAAGTGATAAAAGCTCGCGAAATTAACCAATCAGACCACGTAGTGAGAGATATGATAAGTATCTATTAAATAGTTTTCAACTTTAATCGTGGGGGACGCATTACGACTTACGTGAACATGACGGAGCTGTAGACCACACTCCATTTTCGAGACACTTTCTGTTGATTGGTCCGTTAAGTTTGTAGCCTCTCACACAGGTGTAACTGAGTGTATCTTTGAAGTCATAACTTGAACCTTCAACGTGAGCGTGGGGGATATCGCTGGGCTTCCCGCAAGGACCTGACGGAAAAAGAAAATAACAGCGATTAATAGTCCTAAATAAACGGAGAGTAAAACACCATTTGGCCTAAACGGCCATATGGAGATAAGGGGTTCTATAAAGGACTCTTGCTGTGTGCCAGTATTTGTGGTTTACAGTCCATGGTTTCACAAAAAGGGAAGACAGAGAGAGACGAAAAACAACATAAAGAGCTGGAGTGTAACGAACCTAGACATTTAGGTGCCCTGGACCACTTTCCAGTAATACCACATTTTCTTCTTTTGGGTCCTTTCAGTTTGAAGCCGACGTCACATTCATACTTCAAATCATCCTTGAAGTTAAAACTTGAACCTGTGTATTTAAGGTGTGGTATAACCTTTGGTCTTCCACAAGGTCTGGGAACTAAAAGACAACAGGAGGTAAAGACATACATGTAGATATACACCTGAGAGAATTTTGAAATAAATCATAAAACGTAAAGTAAAACAAAATGAACAATGTCGAGGGAAAAGCCCAGGAGCTATGGGGTTTCAATTATTTTTGAATCATTTAATGTTACCTAAACATTTGGGGTCCTCTTTCTCTCTCCATCTCCCTCTCCTGCAAGTCCGCAGTTCAGATCCGGACAAAATGAATCCTTTATGACAAATGTATTTTGCTTTGGATAAGCGTATGTTGATGTGGATCACGGTATGATTCGGTGGATTCCTCTTTAAGTCTCGGAGCACTTGTGCGCAACCTTTCCTTCCAGACCCTACAGTTAAATAATGTAACGCAAGTAAATTCAAGTCATAATACCGTATTTCCTCGAATAAGCGCCCACCCCCTTGGCTATAATGTCAAACAAGCGCCCCCCTCAAGATATTGAGGGGGGGGGGATAGGATAGCCTGTTTCTCTTGCCACTTTATTTATATCTTTTAAGCTTCAACTACAAAGGTGATCAGTACATGAGAATAGTTTCTTTTCCTTAGTTTAACTTCCAGTTATTTCCATCTCCATGTGCTTCTAGAATTCCTTTACGTGCGTTATCTATTATTTAATTTTTTTTTCCTACTGTCGTGCTACCTATGGGGGATAAGTTCTCTCAGTTTATATTCTCTTGGTGCTAATTTAATAAGCCCCCCCCTCCCCTCCCCCCCCCCCTTGAATAAGCGCCCTCCTTATTAGCCGAAATCTTGTCCGGGCGCTTATTCGTAGAAATACGGTAAATTAATCTACTAATTCTGGAATTTCATTTTTTTTTTTCATATGGGGTGGGGTCGGAGGATTCAGTTGTCTTCATATTAAATGATCAAACATTTCAAACTTACTTGCGCTCTTGACACACTGAACGGAACAGGTCAATATGGCAGCAAACGCACATATTGCTATCTATGAGGAGGCATAAAACAAAAACAAAATCAAAATATCAAATTGTCTATTCACTCACGCGACACCTTGACTTGGGAAAAAAAGCGCTTGGCGTGACGAGCTGAGACGACGGTTGCGAACGAGGCTACATAGATTCTCTGACGCAGGGAACGATCGAAAGAACAAAGAGCGAGTAACATTCGGAAACCATGGATTATTATTTCAGGTGGCCTTTATGAAAAAGACACAACGGGTTCAGAATTTTCATTTCATTCTATGTTGAATTGACTATGTTGAATTAACTAACTCGGTTTTGTACACGATTGGATCCATTGTAGACTATTTTAAAAATAGTAGTCTGAACTAGCTGCGTAGCAAACGCTTCAGCACCAAATGTCGCATGATTCATCGGTGTCTGGATTTAACTGAGAATTCGAACACCTCTTATTATAAATCACTACGGATCCAAATATCCTTAAAACGATAATCCAAAACTTTTCCCTAGAGTAATCTTCGTCTCAGATATTTATCATTGTATTGTAACGAACACTGAGTCACTTTAGGTTTTTGATAAGAGTAAGTTGAGCTTGGCACTCCAACATGAATCAGTAAAAACTTCATTACGCATTCTGATAGACATCAAATTTGACAATGAGTACGGTATATAGGAAATTTCCTATTAGATTCAAGATTATTCTGCCCAGAAAATCTATGACACTGGATCAATTAAGATTCACTTCAATTCATCTTAACGCCCTCAATGGAAGGTAAACATTCGTCTATAATTTTCTGACCTGCGAATAAAAACATCAAAAATACCCAGAAGGCACACTTGATATTTGTGGGGAATGTTCGCTCACTTCTACATCCTAAAATCGAGGAAGAAAGATAGAAAACAAATAATTTGTATGAAAGCGACTCACCTTGAGTGCTAAAGACATCTTGAATCACCTCACATCTCATATGGTTTACAGTTGCACCACTTAGACTGCATGCTTGAACTTCCTTAGTAACTGATGCTTTTACATCCTGTCAGCTTTCAGACGCCTTCTCTGATCTTGCGCGGATCAATTGCGCTGATCAATTGCCAAAACAAACAGGTACTCACGTCCATTGGAAGTATGAGGTTTCGATGCGCTTCAGCGGAACGAAAGGTCAAACACTCAGACGTTTGATTACGGTTAAGGAGGTATCTAATATTCAAACGTGCAGCAGCCGGTAGCCAGTAATTTCACAAGCACATAAGAGCAATTAGTTTTTAGTTTTATTTTTTAATCCAATTCATAGTTTTGCAAGGTTTAGGTTGATCATTTTAGTGAAGGACCATTAATTTTTCTTAGAGTTGGGAAGTTGCCGTAGCTTTTAACATAATTAATATTATTATTGTATTATTTCATTATTTAAACTGGCCCCTACGTTAAATAAAGTTATCTATCTCCAGATAAAACTTCGTTTGCAAAGATGTCATCTAAGAGAAGAAAATATCACGGCTAACAACGCAAAAAATTAATGCTCGAGCACGGAAAATACTGGGCCAAGTTCTCCTGAAGTGAAAATGTCAGAGAGAGAGTGAGTGAGAGATCTTTTGTGTTTCATTATGCCTCGTGCAAGGTTTGTGAGAAAAACCAACATCTGATTACCAAACATTCAAATACTGTCAACAGACAATTTTTTCGAAGAGGATTGCGTGACAAGTCTGAAGTAATTTGATTAGAATTTTTTATTGTTGTCCACTTCTTAAAATCACCTTATTTCTTCCGTCAGAAACAGTGTAGTGATGTTCTCTGGCCGAAACACGGACGGTCCTCTCGCCGTCGTGCAGGGGAAACGTAGTATAAAATAAGAACAGCCTTAATTATAATGATACCATCATTCAGGGATTTTTATAAATATGAGAAAGAAAAATTTGAAGCTTACCTGAATTCACGTGTCTACAGAAAGGCCAGGTAAAGGTTTAACGTCAGGTGAAGGCAAAATTACATGGATAATTCATCTTTTCCGCAGTCGTGAAGATTACAGGAAGATTACATCGAAGCAGGTAAAAAAATTTTTGTCGTAACAAAGTGAAAGCAATGCGTTTTTGAAAAGCAATGCATGGAATTCCAAACTTAGAAGGCGAACGAACGTCTTTTCCGAAAGCCATGAAATTTTAAAATGGCTCAGAGCAGGAGTAATTTTGGCGAGTGAGTGCTCAATATTTTCTTAATGCAAATTATGGCCGCCATCTTTGATTTATATAGTGGCGGAAGTCTAGGGAGGGTCCGACGATCAAAAATAAGGAAAATGGTGGGGTGGGGGGGGGGAGTGAAGATTCTCGCCCTTCCCCCGCCCCCACCCCCAGCCTCCACTCTAACTCCAAATCAAACATGCCCGGTCGAATAAACGATCGAATGAATATAACATTAGCTGGCCCTAATAAGACGCCTGCACTTCAGGCAAAAACAACAATGGAAAGAGATATGGAGCAAAAATCTTAAGAAAATCTGAAATGATAAGCGTCACAATGAGGCGCGAAAGCGAAGATAACTTGTGTGATATAGAGAGAATCAGTGCGAAACAGATGTAATCCTACAGCACTAGGCGGGTTAAGAATTGCATAACAGATAAAAATTCAAGTAGAAACTCTTAGAATTTTTTCAGTGTAATCTCGACACAACAAAACAAGTCCAAAGTATACTATTCGATAGGAGATATCCGTAAGTACTGAGTTTACCTGCGAATCTCAACTGCTTTTGTGCAGACAATGACAGTGTAAAAATCATTAAAACTTGGCGTTTATTTCATTTGCAAAATACTGTGCGGCATAATTAGGCTATGAAGATACTTTTTAAAAGTTAATGCTTCCATTTTTCATCTACCGATGCTTCTACTTTAACTCCAGAATTAACCTTTCACAGCCCCAAAACAGCGAAGCTGACTTAGAAGGAAACTCAGCAATCTGGCGCAAAATGCACACTGGTCAGCAGTCTGCCTTCAACGCGAACCTCGGAAAAAAGAACTTGATTGCTAGATGGGGTGGAAACTGAAACGCTTCCTCATTAAGCACAAAGAAAACAGATTGGCCGAGGAAGCATTTTTCAGGAATCCCATAGAAAGTAATTTAGACTACAACAGTTTCTGTAAAATACTCAGCCTATAAATGAATCCTAAAAAAACGTCAAAAAGTGCCTTTAATTCTGACAGAGCAGACTAACATTAGGGTTTGCTCAGGAAGAGATAATCCAACCTGGTAGCTACCATCAAATACAGGAGGATGGGAAAGTTAAGCCTGTTGAACGCCAATTACAGATCAGTGTTGCAATGGGAAAATTTAAGCTTGTGTATTTCAAAATGCGCAAACCTTAACTGAGCTGGTCCATTATAAACGAACGTGGTCCAAGTTTCCCTTCGCGAGCTACGTTGTGGCTGACCATAAAGGTTAAAGCAGCATGCAAATAACAAAAAAAAAAGAAAAAAAAAATCTTTAACAGTAGGAAAGAAACAAATAAAATTTTTACTCTACTTTGATATCAAGAAATATCTTGCTTGGCATAGTATCACTCTACATCATGCAATCCTCATAATTTAGCATTTTGAGGGCTTAAATTCTCGAGCAAATTTATCCAATTTAGCTTTGTTCTCGCCGACTTCAGGCCACAGTTTGACGAACGAATTCTCGTCCAGCTCGTACTTGCCTCCTTCATCTCGACCCATGATCAAGTATTCCTTGTTAGTCTCAAGTTTAAGACTCCGGCACGTTTCTCGCTTCGTAAACTCTATCTGTGTTTTCTTACCGTCTTTACGTCTGAGTTTCAGTTTCTTGTTTCCTTTTAGAATGATTTGCACAACCTCGACAACGTACTCAAGCATGGTTTCTACCTCATCGACCCGCAAGAGCTTTCCTTTTATGACTGGCATTGAAAAAAAGAATAAATAAAAAATGAATGGTGATAAAAGATTTGGGCTAAAGCGAGGTCTTTGCAAGTATGATTGTATCATTTGATTTGTACTCTACTAGAGATCCTTTTCCGTCTCCTAACCTAGCACTTACTCATTTCCTTACTTAAATGATGTTAACCCTAGAAAGTAGTATACTATTTCGGTACTAGGCGTCTTAAACATAGATATGTTTTAGTGTTTAAAAATTGATTTACAAATATCCTAATCAGGCTTATTTTTATTAATTATTAAAAATAACAATGAAAAAGCAAACAATCAAACAAAAAAACAAACAAACAAACAAACAAAAAACACGAAACTAAACCGATCTAGCTTCGGGGTAAGCAGCCTTCTAGGAGGTCTCAAAAATAAAAAAAAATCTCTTGAAGCGATGAAAACTCAGTCAAAGAAACTCCTAAAACTGCATCTTGAAAACAATCCAATTTACATAACTACCCCCCTCTCACAAAACCCTACATGAAGCGCGATGTTCATGGACTTTGAGAAAACAATTGTTGACTTGGTGAAAACACCAGAGGCCTGTTTCTCGAAGGTCCTGGTAACTTAACAGGCCAGTAAATCTGTTTTGTTTTCATTCAAGGTGGGGATTACAAAACATTTTTATCTTTAATACAGCTTGGGGTCTTTTAAGCGTTAAGTAACCGTTCTTTCGAGAAACAGGCCTCACGTGTTTTCGCCACGTCAACAACTATTTTCCCGAAGGGCTCCAGGACAGGTTCTGAATTGGATATGTGAGTGCGAACGACTACGAACAAAATCCTATATCTTACTGTATTGGTAATTGTCGCAGGCAATATTTATTAGCTTGTTAATGTTGTCAATCGGGGGATCATCCTGAGGACATTTATCTGCAAAAAGAAAATACAATGTTGAAATAATTTCACCTAAGGATCGCCGAGCAAATTGTCTCAAGATAATTCTGTGTCAAATTCCGAACCTTGAGTGCATTTGCACGAAGAGGAGCCAATATCACAAACTCCCAACTTCAACGGACTTGACTTTTCGGGCCCATAAAATTCGCTGCAGGACTGATCTGAGCTCAAGAAGGAAAGAGTGGCGAAATAATTACAATTGTAGAACTTCAAATGTTAGAGCCTACACAACAGGTATATGGCAGATAGGGAGGCACTGGGGTCGAGGTCCACCGAAGCCTATATTTTTGCAGACATCAGTTTCTGTCAATTTCATTTATCCACGGATCAAATATGATTAATTCTGCATCATATGCAATAGGAAGAAGCTATTAATTTTCTGAAAGTTTAGAGTCAGGAAAAGGACAATCTTTTATATTCCGGTAGGATTTATGACAACTTGACGGAGCCGAGTTGTATTTCTGATTTATCCGTGGTAAAAATTTATAAACCCAGTTTGAAGTTTATTCTACTTTCATTTCTATTTATTACCATAGTTTGATCGAATGAACATGGAAATCACACTGGCTTTATCAAGACAATAGAGGGTAAGATTTTAATCCCAACACAGCTCGTTTTATTGGTAGAACACTTATTCAAGAATTGAAATTTGTAAATCCTTTGCTTCATTTCATATTTATTTCCTATTCCTGATTTTTCATCTAAATTCATGCAAGGTGTGCATCCCTGTATCCCATCGAAATTTAAACACATCGACGGAAAAAAATATTTAAATCATTTCTTTTTTATAAAAATTCATCCTAACCTGGTTGATAATAGTCATACACATTCACCGGTACTGATTGAACTGCACCAACGTAAAACTCTTTTTCAAACAGAACATTTACGCACAGCTCATGGTCACTAGGGATCTGAAATAAATGACAGAATTGGGCAGGCAAGATTTCCAAAAATGTCGAAACAATGTTACAAAGCCAGAAGGTGATAAGAACAAAATGATGATGGTGAAGCGCGTTTAAGAGATCGAAAGTAATTGAAATAAACCCTCTGTGTTCTCACTGATCTGTTACCTCACTGAGATAAAGAACCAAGGATCTGTCTGACTCCTCAATCATATCCAGTTGGGGCAAGTCGGTTTTCCACTGCCAAAGGTAGAAAATATACCATTTATTATCCAACTGCACAAAGTAGAGTACAAATAACAGGCGAATAGAGTACAAATATCCTGCGATATTGTACGGTTATTAGGACAGTTAGTTGTTTTGTACTGTAAAAAAACCTGTCTAACCAGTCGGCTCTGCGCGTTATACGCTTCTCTATCCGCTTTGCTTTTCCCGTCTTAAGAGAAATGAGCAGAAAGACTTAGCAGAAAAAAAGAAGTTGGATAATAGATAACTTATAAGACGGGTTGGTTTGTATTTATTCGTATTTTGACTCGTCAAAATACGACACAACTCGTAAAAATACTCAGCGATATTACAGTCCAAAACGTCTACTGAGATATATATGTCATACGTAAATACATAAACAGCTACATTTATACACATAACGACAGCACTACCGTCAAAGCTACTACTGCTTGTAATATTGCTCTCGTTACAACTACCGTAACTTTATTTTTCTTCACTCGTTTTCATAAAAAGGCCTCTAAAAATTTCTACTCGTTTTCAGATGTGAAAGATGTTCTTAGTTTACATAATCATTAATTTGACCGAGTGAATTCTCGCCTTTCCACCCAGTGCCTGTGTTCTGGTGGCTTGAAAACTTCATCAAACTTCATAAAGACAACAGTTTGGTAAGAAAGGCAAGGAGGCAATAACTCCAGGATCCGTGTCTCTCTCTCTCTCTCTCTCTCTCTCCTTTTATTTTTTGAAGATACAAATGTATGGGTTTCTGATGTGTTGGCACTGTATTCTGCAACTACTACCACTATCCCTCACTTTACCTTGGCTAGTGATTTGTTCTTTGGTTTAAATCCGGTTAAGATTCCAATATCCATGATGGCCATTCCAGTATTACCAGGTTTCTTATACCTAAAAAAAAAAAAAGAAAAGCAATTAAGGTGATTGGATATGAGGACAAGGAACAAGTCCAGTTTTACCCGTCATAAACCAAACCACATCATTAACTGCAAGCAATCACAACAAAAGTGAACACCAAAAAGCAATGTAAAGTTAATACACGCAACTAGCTTGAAGCGCGAGAAAGCTAATGTTAGGACTAGCTTTAGATTATGTCTTTCTGATTGAGAAGGAGGTTGCCTGTATAGCAAACCAAAAGATCACAACTTTCATTATAGGGCAATGCCGGTAAGCAAAGCAATTCAAGATTACTTTGGATAACTTTATGGAAAACCGACCTAAAGCCTGTGTCAAACAGAAGGATAAGTCGAGAAAGGGTAAACACCTAGCGTATACAGAAGGTTTCTCTCACCTGGTGCAGACTTCCAATCTGATATTCTTGACTGGCTGGTATTTAGGTGGAGATTGAGGCTCCTTGCCTTTCTTGGGGTTACCTTTGTTGTTTCTCCTTCTCTTACATTGCTTCTTCTTCTGTCGATTTCTTATCTTTTTACATCCTCTCCCTTTCTTTTTACCACTTCCTCTTTGGTTGTTTTTTTTTTCTTCCTCTTCCTGACGTTCTCTCTCCGCGGCATCGCTTTGCATGGGTCCAAGTAGATCTTCCTTTTCATCTCCTTTTATTTCAACGACTTTTATACTCAATTCAAACATACAGATTTCATCTCTTGACGAGGGAAGATTGTAACGAGTTTCCACCTTAAATCGAAACATTTTAAATATCAAATGAACACTGAGTAGTCTGAATTACTAGTAAAAACGAAAATTGGCATTTTGAAATAAAAAATAATATTTATAAATTAGAAAATTTAACCTAACGTCGAGCCTACATTTGAGACAACTATTACATCACTAATTAATGGGCGTTTTAAAAGTTTTTAGAGCTGATATTCAAATACTTCAAAGGCTGAGTATTTCATACAAAGTTGAGGGTCTAAATAGGGTTAACTGATAGCCTGAAACGGCCAAAGAAATAACCGTTAAGCGTCAAAATTGACAAATTTTAACCGTCAGTCAATGGACAACAACGAATTAATCAGTAACCGTTAGTCGTAAAATGACCAAAATTTTAACCGTTAGTCGTAAAAACCCTCACCCCATTGAGACTCTCCTAGTTACCTCCTAAGTTTAAATAAAAAAAGAAGTTAATATTACCTCCAAGAGTCCCACACCACTTCCTTTAGTCTCCACGAAGAGCTTGCCGGGAAGAGCCTGCTCTGGAATCTGAAATGAGCAGAACAGGGGAGCAATAACTCTGCTAGCATTTATTCTGAAAGCAAAGTTAACATAGCCCTGTCTTATGGAAAAATCGTTAGATATCCGAGAGTACTAAAAGCGCTATATTAGCAATGTACAGTTTTATTTTGCCAATGTGTAATGATCCAAAAATATTGCTTACTCAACATCCATCATATTAGCGAAATTTGGGGCCCCACCCATTCAAGTTAGAAATGTTATCAGAGGTGAGGAGGAATTTGTTTCTTGTTTCTGGGGAAAACTCGTTCTGGTCGCATCCAACACGCAATTCCTCTATTTGCTGACACAGGTGTTTTATCGCTAAAATTCTCCTTCTAGGAACTGACAGCTAATTTGATGTTTGACGTCAGACATAGAAATGCACCTTGTAGCATTTAAGAACTCTTCCCAAATATTTCTGAGATCCGTTCTTGTGACACCCTATCTTCTGCGTCCAAAAATTTTTATAAACAAAAATCTTGATTCGATTATATTAATTCTACAGAATTGAAACAAAAGTTTGGATGAGAAGCCCTTCATTGTAGTGTGCTTAACGATCAGTCTTCTTCAGTCTGTTCTACTTTTTTATTTGGCGATGGCACTATTTGCAACATTACTAAACATCTGCTAATACAGAAATTTGAAGTGAATGGATGACTAGAACGAATGAACCTCAGTTGAAATTCATGACCAGTTGCATCTAGGATTTGTTATCGTATAACTTTTTTGGAGTATTTCCGGACGTTTTCTATCTCACCTTGACTTCCCTCCGTAAAAGTGCGTTTTCTGGGTTAATGTGATGGAATTCTCTGACATCTCCTTTTTCTGTCTCTACTTTTACTCGTAAGTCTAAATTATTGTTTCCTGTAGTTTTCTCGCTGTGCAATGCAAGAGCTTGGAGAGCTACCACTGTATCCTGTGAAAAATTTTCAGTGTGGTAAGAAACAGATCACATATTTCGATGCTCATATGAAAAAAGGAAAGAGGTAGACGAGGAGCAGATCCGTAAACTTCTCTTACCTGTGTAGATACAAATCCGACACCACCCTGCCTCTGACCTGTTATATACGTTACAATAGGACCTGCATAAACGGTGCGTCCGAGAAGCACTTGAGTCATCAATGCATAACCAGCTGTCTCCACATTAAGTGCATTTCCACCAGTATTCCAGTGCCGAGTCTTTTTAACTGAAGTTGAAAATATGTATTTTTTTTTAGTTTAAACAATAATAAATCGCCTTGTTAGACAGAACTGTAACATGTTAAGATTTTTGCAAAAACTGCTGGCGTTCTGTTGTTTCCTAGACAGAAACTCGATCCTTGAATCGCTCAAGAGGTTTTACGTCCTTTTTGCCGTTCTTATTTATATTAATTTTCTTGCCAATACAAACTATTTACTCCCCTTTTCTGATGTGAACACTGAGCTAGGACAGCAGAATCACTGAAACCATATCAGCCCAAAAACTGATCTAAGCAGACCCCGTTGAACGTAGAAAATCCTCACATTAGACAAATACTCGAATTAAAAGCCAAAAGAATCGATCTCAATCATCACGGTCATCAATTTTCCAGGTGGCGAAGAAAAATAACAGTGCGTGGAAAAAATTTTGGAAAAATGCAAGGCCCGGAAGGATTATTTTCGTGCAGAATTCGTCGTCTAACCCCTAGATATTTCATTTTTCTCCTCAATCGCAGAAGTTGAAGAACCTTGGTTCAACCTGCATCGCTGATTTTGTTTGTCAATATTTTTCTCTACCACACTGCAATCATGATGAGCACGACAACAAAATATGTGATAATAAAGTTTCTCGTCACGAAGACGTTATCGCGTTATGACAAGCAGGCGGAGCAACCTGGATAAGAGATGGGATCTATGAAAGTAGACCAAATTATATACATTTATGTGTACATTCAATTATTACTTTACGAAGTTAATAAGGACTAAAGTAAAAACTAACCATCATCGTACTGAGACCTTTGAAGAAGTCGATCATTAGCATCGACTTTTTCTCTGCTATCAACCAAGCTCAGAGCATAAGCCGTGAGAGCCATACTGTAAGGTCTATTCAAGTTTTTGTACCGACTCTCCAAGAAGTTTGTGGCCTTAAGTAAGTGTGCCTGTGGAACCTAAGAGGGAAAAAAATAGTGCCGAATTTTAGCTTGTTTTAAATTGTTTTGGTCGGCATCGATATACGAGGAAGCAGCACTTCTCGTCGGGACAAAAATCGAAAAGAAAATTGCAACTATGAGGGGTGTCCTCCTGATAATATTGCACCGCAATTGTTTGCATTTCATTACATCGCATAGCATTTGATTGCACTATAATTTAATGCATTGCAATATAATACATAACTATGAAATTTTTTTTAACATACCGCTTTGCAATTACATTCCAACAGAGCAGATAACACAAAGGCTGTCATGGCAACGTCTCCCTCTGAATTGTATACACCCCCCTGGAATGTAAATTGACATGAGTGTCCGTGAGTATCAAACGTAAACTAACTATTAAATAAATAGATAATAAGCTCGCTATTGTTTATCTACGCTCATGAGTAAAAAAAAAAAAACGATTTTTGGTTAGCAAATAACTGTGAAAGGATTTTCCATCCTTTCTTTTTGATCAATTTTGGGCATTGCTGAAGAACAACCTCCTCGTTTTGATTTGTTTAATGATCTAAAGCGAGGAGGTTGTTTCTTCATAAAGGAGTCATGAAAACATACGCAAATAATGTTCCACGACGACAAGAGAACGTTTGTATCAACAAAACAACATGGTCGCCTTGGAGACAGCGGTTCTAAGGCCCGAACGGGCTGCTGTGCATAAATACAGCGGTACACTCTTTAGATGCAAGCAAATGTAGGGATAATGAAAAAAAAAACGACGTTTCCATTCGAAAGGAAAAAAAATCACAGAGCCTCGGGTGATTGTGCTTAATTTTACAACAACAAAAAAACTTGTTTTGCCCTTAATTCAATTTCGGGTTGAGACCATATTTACATCTTTAACTTCTTAGACTTTTCTCTTCTTACCACCATCTCTCTATGAATGACATGGTGAACCTCGGGGAAAGCTCCATCGTTGCCTTGGTTTTCAATCAGCCAACTCACAGACTCGCACAGCATTTTTTCTTCAATTTCATCACCCAAAAACTTTTTAGCCTTGCAGAAGACCTTCATCACAAAAGCAGTCAACCTTGGTCGCACACATAGAAAAACTGATTAGCCAACGTTTCAGAGCTGAAGGGCCCATTATTTAAGCAATTTTACACAGCGTTTTTGAAAGTCGTTGTCTAACCAGTGTTTGACGCGTGAAAATCGATTATTTAATGCTGTTTGATTTTAACGGTTTTAGATCACGTATAAACACCAACAGGAGTACTGTAGCGAGTTAGATCTACTCACAGGTGCGTTTAAACGCTTTTTACTGGATTATCTCACAGCCAGCCGTTTTGAAATGGACGAACTTCTTATGCCAATCCGAGCTTATATTAATTCTACCACCGTTATGCCTAAATTTTGCTCTGCCTGTGCTCGGTAATCTCTAACCGTTTCCCTCGTTTGACACTTCTCCTCATGCCTATCTTTTCCTTCCCAGTCGAGGATACTCTTCCGGACCTAAGTTAAAACCGTCCCTACGACAGGAACGGTCTGAAACCGAGGAACCAATATGTGTTGTACGCTTGAAATACGCAAGTGAAGACATGCCGGGAAACTGGTGCTTTATACAGGTGTTACGTGGAAATTTTTCCATGAAAAATACCTCTCTAATCATTTCCAATCTTGCTCGCGCGCGATTGGTCCAAATGCAAATGTCTGGGAAACTGGGGGATAAGCAAGGATAACTCCAAGAGATATTCTCCAATTTTCAAATTTTACGTCCTCTACTATAAAAGTCTTCGTTTAAAATTTAATTCGAGATGAGAGAGAGTTTCGCCGTTGCTACAGAAAGGGACACGTTTGTTTGATCATTAAGTAGTATTAGTGAACACTGAAAAGGTAACATCTCACGCAGCAAACATTAAGCTGTTCGTTAATATTTTTCCTGCTCCTTGCAAAATAATTTAAAGTATAATAAACACAATAGCTTCCATTTGACGCAAATATATGCTCATATATTTTTCCTTGGACTTATATGTTTCTTGTAGCTCACACTTTTTTTCGAGCTTTGCTCTTAGAAAACCATTTGCATCTTGAATCGGCTAATGTCCGCGGACATCCGTGCATATTTTCGCGCCAGATAAAGACTATTAATTATAAGAGACTATTGTTTATACCTAGCTGAAAGGAAAGGTCGATATGAAAATATGGAATAATACAGCTGATACAATGAGTTTACAAACCATGTGCTTCCTGGTCGTTCATTTCCAAATGCACTAAATGACCTGTCGTCACGACGGTAGTTTAATTCACGTTGATAACCTGAAAATGAAACTTAAATTTCAAGATTGGTTTGCAATAAAATAATAAACCATTTATGTTAATTTGTTAATCGCCGTTGATTTTGTTCTGTTTGCTATAGGCTAACTAAGCACGAGAGACTAGCTACTGATAGATTTCTCTAGTAAAAATTTGGAGCAATCCCGAAAACATGGACTGCGGCATGCTACATTTACATATCAAAATAACCTGTCGAAAGTACCCTGCAATTTTCTATGGGTGTCATTATCCCGGTTTGAAACTGAAATACCTTTGTCTTATGTTAAATTCAATATTACAGCTTTCTTTAAAGGAGAGAGCCACTAAAATGAAATAGCTAACAACCATTATATCTAAGGAAGTAAATAGCAATGAAGTTTCACGACAAAGGTAATGCAAACTATTTTGAACCATCTTAAATAGTTCACGCCGCGTTTCGTTGTAGAAAATGAAATCTGAAATAAAACCTTTGCAGCCTATGATTACCATCAGCCGGTTGGCGATAACAAACACGCGTGAAAACACGTGTGTTTGTTACGGCTTTTCTCAGGCTGGAAATCCTTGTATAACACCGTACTTTATACAATAAAAATAAAATTCTGATGCAACGCGCGCTGCCATTGGTGAAAGAGCGTGCTCTATGAGAGTATAGGGCATAGAGCTGAGCTAAAGTTGTCACGCCGTCTGCCAAATTGTACTATGTTCGACCTTTTCTGAGACTTTTCTCTAGTTTAATTCTTTAATTGCAAGTGAAATTTCGGAACAAGCGAATCGGCAGATGGCAACAGAAGAACCAAACAAAGGTTTGTAAACATGCCAGGTGCCGTAATTGACGTTATTACAACGTGAGCAGAGACGAAAATCATCAAAGAGAAATCAAAAGGTAGGGTCCGACTGTTTTGGATATTTTCACACTCAGTTAGATAGCAAGCTTACACACGGTAATAAAAATCAAACACAGCTAACACTTGTGTAGTATATACAGTTTCGTGTTCAAAAACAAAACAGAACAAAACAGGAATTATGAACAATATAGCCAAACTAATATAACTGTTAAAATTCATTCTAATCATGACGGTGTCAGAGCGACCGCGATCACGCTGAGGTCCAACGCAACTAGCTCATCGGGGCGATCTCCGGTCATCGCAGTCAAGTAAGTCTCAGAAATTACATCGGCCGCCCTTCGAGAGAACAACTAAGAGCTTTCTCTGATATCCTTACCGATGCGTCACTGCAGCCGAGTGTTACGGCTCTGTCATCCCGAGCAATCTTCATGTTCCGGAAAAAATTCGTCTGTCATTCATTCATTAAACACACGCTTGAACAGTTTGTTTTCTAATTGTCATGTGAAAAAACTTGCGTGTTTTTATAAGCCACAATTCGGCCGGATTTCACAAAACATTTCACAATCAGATTCTGTATTAGAGACTTAAAAACTTCAGCCAAAAGAGTTAAATTCAACCTGTCGAACTATTAAGTTTGTAAACTATTGCAGAATGTGAACTTTGATGGTTTGAAATTTTTGACAGCTTTAGTCTTGTACAGCCAATCAGATTATTTGAACCATCCCAACAGGGATTCTGATTGGCTTATTGTAGCATGCTTTATGAGAGCAGAGAGCATGCTGACGACACTGTTGTTCGCTTTGGAAATAAAGTTTGTTTCGAAAATTGAAAGTAATGCTTGAGGAATTTAACGGATTCTTTATTATAAAACAAATAGAGAAGCCTTGACTTTGTTCTGTTCTGTCTACACTTCTTTCGTGCTCTAGCCGCTTCCCTAAGTGCTTTACAACAGAACAGAACACAGACAAGGCTTCTATATTTGTTAATTAGAAGAAAGTGCTATAAAAAAGCTTTCTCGCTGAGAGAACCTTTAGGGGAGACTAAAATTTGACAAAAAACTAAGTGTCTCATGTTAGAAAGAAAACTGTAAATACCTGACTGGATGAAGCGGTGTGCACTTTCTGCGCTTGCGCCACTGATCTGTTTGGTGTTCATAAGATATTCTAGAACGTACACGTTAGGGGCAAGAAAAAGCATTGTTTGCTCCCCACATCCTGTAGGTTGGCGGAAAAATTTCTCCAGACCACCCTCGATAGTCGTGTTTATAACTGGACCAAGAAGGTTTCCTGATGGAAATGGAATATAGAGTTGGAACAACTATGAACCCATACAACTCGATTTCCCACTAAGTGAGAGTCTTGTTGTCATTTTCCCAAGGCTTTTCTTTTGATCATGGCCACAGTATTTGTTCTTTTCTTTTCGGGCGAGATAATTTGCTGGACGTTCACGGTTTTCGTGTTCAAAACTTTACCACAGCTCCCTTTATAATTTACATCACGTAGACAGTGGTCAATCACATTACAGTAAACAGCGTTGGCACTGCGCAAACGAACGCAACAGGTAAAAATTTGCCTAGAATTCATCGAGATTAGAAAATATTTACAAACGATAGCTTTTTTCATCAGGGTTTCCTAAAATTTAAAAGTAAAACATTTTATGATTTTTTTTTAAAAAGCCAAAACATAATTCCTTCAATTATTTACTAAATTCTGTATGTTGACTTACCAGTCAAGTATACGACAGCTCCAGTTGAACCACTTATGGCTTTAGGGGGAATTGCGAAGTCAACTACAATAAATAACATTTACTTGTGTCATCTTTTAGGTTTTAGAAATACACATAGTACCACAGAATAATAAATTTCGCCTTACAATATCACTCTTGAAGCACACATTAAGGTACTAAGACCAATGTATTGGGGTAAACACCAATAATAAATGTGAGCCAACTGACGAACTCGGAAAATGAATTATGCAGGGTGAGATGTTGAAGCCGTATTTTATAACGTTTGATACGCTTAGAAATATAGGTCTGATTATTAAAACAAAGTTTACCCCTTTTTAATCAAACTGCGTTCGAAACCATCTTCAATTTAGCCGAACCTTTTTTCTAGACATTTAAATTGTATCCTCCAAAATATTTAGGATGAAACATACTTGAAATGTTCCTTGGCGATGTGGTAGAACTGTGTCCTCCATTATTACTGTCATCATTGAGAATTCCTGCGAGTGAAAGCAAAGAACATCTATATCAATAACTATCACGGAGGGCCATCCCTGAGAAATTTTTCGTTTCCCACTGCCCGACCGACCGACTGACCAATATTTCAGAAATACACAAGACGACAAGTCAAATTACAATACTTCCTCAGACTAAAATTTGCAAAGAAGCCTGCATTTATAAACTGACCTTTTTATTTAAAAGTTAAACTTTTCAGGCTCCCTTGTTTAATTCCTCAGTCAATTATTTTTTGTTTTTTTGCACTTTCATTTTTGCGCCAATCTCAAGAGCATGGAACTGAAAGTGAGTCATAGGAGGAGGGAAGTTCAAAATGAATTACCTTTAGGATCCAGTGTAAAGGATCGTGAAGTACGATTTTCCTTTCCTTCTGGCTAACAGTTATGAAAAAATACAAAAAGCAATGGCATACATTTAAAAAGAAAAAAGTTAACACTGAAAGTTGAGGTAAGTTAAGACCGAAAAAACACATGACTTCAACATGATTTTGTCTTGCCAAGTTATGCAAGAGCAATTGATTTCTTTAAAACAGGGCTTAAATATCAAATCTCGCCTGTACGAAACCTGTTAGTTCTTTCTATAGCGACCTCACTTCTCCACGTAAGAATATTTACTGATTGAACATTTAAAACATTATTCTGCTTATTCACATCAAAAGTGCTCAATTACAAATCACATATTCCAGAAGGATTTTTTACGTGATACGATATACATTTAAGGATTCACTTTTGAACTTTAGGCGCTCATGTTACGTAAATATCTTCTTTGAATTAGGACAGAATTTTTTTCATTTTTTATTTGAGAGGAATAGAAAGCAAATAGTATTTCTCCACCTTCCATATAAAGTAAGCAAAATGTTTCGTAATTATATTCTGCAAATTTAAACTCACTTACCACAACAAGAAGCTCTCGTTTTACGGCATCCACTTCCCTTTTTTCCCAAAAGTCTTTACTACCTTCTTTTATTTCAAGAATCGATGTGACTTCGATTTCTATTTTTCCAGCTGTTTTGGGAATAATTGGGACTGCAACAGATCTGGCATCGTTTGGTTGAGGGTAGAGTATTCCGATCAAAACAAGGCTGTCATCGTCAGCAGTGGAACAGAAGTCTTTGTTACCTCTGAGGTATACCTTTGCCTTTTGGAGAGAAAATAAACCATACGAATGTTTAGTACTGTTTTCCCAGAGGCAATGAATGACCCATTTGGCTCAAAAGGTTCATTTACTCGTAAATGAACATTTGTAATAAAATACTAAGTACAGGAAATGAAAAAAAAAAAAAAGAAAAAAAAAAAAAAAAAAAAAAGACTAGCTTAGTCAGTTATAATAAAGAACTCGCTTGGTCCTCTAAACCTCAAAGTGTGACTGGCACCTAATTTCGCCTTACAATATCACTCCTGAAGCACACATTAAGGTACGAGAACTAAGTTCTATCAGTTCTAAGACCAATGTATTGGTGTAAACACCAATAATAAATGTGAGCCAACTGACGAACTCGGAAAATGAATTATGCAGGGTGAGATGTTGAAGCCGTATTTTATAACGTTTGATACGCTTAGAAATATAGGTCTGATTATTAAAACAAAGTTTACCCCTTTTTAATCAAACTGCGTTCGAAACCATCTTCAATTTAGCCGAACCTTTTTTCTGGACATTTATTCTTGTGAACAGTGTCAAGAGGGCCGAAACTGACAGTAGAAAGATCATTTATTTAGTCAAATCGGTCCATGCACTTAGAGGGAAAACCTAAAGGGCCACTGATTGAGTAAAATCATGGCTTATGGTATGGTATGACCTCATGTATAACCGAACCATCGTCACCTGAACATAATAATGTAATAACCGCTAAGGTTAAGCCTACCCGATACTGATCGCCATTATTTATCTTATAGTTGAAAACTGTCGCCAGAATAGAAATCTGTTCTCCTCTTTTCACCGAATAAGGCATTGTGAGAGAAACAAAAAAGTCTTTCTTTGAAACAATCTGTAGCGGTAAGGCAAGGCCCAATCCTGTTTCGTTATTGATGGCCACGGCTTGTATGACCCAGGTGGTTATAGTGTGGGGTGTTGTGACTTTTATTTCTGCAGTTCCATCCTCCCTGTAAAAAGGTAAGACAATTTTTTGTCAAGCCATTGAAGGAGTAACAGTTGTAAATTATATTTGTTCAACTCTTTTTATGGTCGGTTCTTGAGGTTTTTCGTGGAAACTCAAAATAGAAGTCGTAACATTTGTTTGATAGCGAACATTGGTAGCGAGCGGACGCTTCAGAGAGCGCTCTGTTTGAAAAGTTTTTTATAATATATATTTTATAATATAAATTATATTTGTTCAACTCTTTTTATGGTCGGTTCTTCAGGTTTTTCGTGGAAACTCAAAATAGAAGTGGCAACATTTGTTTGATAGCGAACATTGGTAGCGAGCGGACGCTTCAGAGAGCGCTCTGTTTGAAAAGTTTTTTGTTCTGAGTCACATTTCTCACTGGTTGTGCAGAGGTACATCACGGAGCGACTGAAAAATGATGAAACCGTGGCCTTCTAAGTCAGTTTTAGCTGTGGGCTTTTCACAAGGGATCTATCTTAGGAAACCCCTCTTTCAGTAACCTGTGAAATGTGAGCTGTATACTTAACTCTGAAGAAATAAATTTCTTGTTCGACGCTACATGCACATACGTACTTGGTTAAATAAATTTTTTCGACGCTTGTTACGTTTTTTGTTTCATGAATTTGAGTGTGTGCTTATTCATAGCCATCGATACGTTTAAAAATCCTTGATAATGATCAACAAATTTACGTTAATAATAGTAATAATAATATTTATAATGCTAATATAATAAATTTTGTATCAGTTTATCATCTTACCCAACGACACGCTCATCCCAAAGCCAGGTTTCTGGAAAGTCGGTTCTAACTTGATACCCTTCCTCAGCGAGGTACCGCTCATCATCATCTACACTCGGTGCACCACTTCTTCCAAGCAGGGCGGAATCTAAACGTTTTATCCAACACAAGTCGCTTTTCAGTCTTTATATCAAATACGCCGTTTTATATCGTAAAGATCGTTAACCCTTTAACCCCTTAGAGTGACTGGCATCTAATTTGTCCTTACAATATCACCACTGAGTCAGAGATAAATGCCACGAGAATAGAGGAAATGATCACCAACTAAAGAAACTCTTCATTTCGTAGAAAAGGCTGTGATTATTCATCGCGGTGAATAATAATAAAAGCTAAGTTTTTTCGTTTGTCTCACGATGTAATCACGTGTGATGTAGATCGCGACGTTTCGACTGCATACTGCTAGTCTTTTTCAGGCGATGAGGTCGACTGGTCATGCGTGATCTTATAAAGCATGATGCTCTGCTGCGATTAGTTGTTTTTTCAACAGCTGAAAATCTAGGAAGACAGAATTAAGGAGCACGATCGAGACATTCGACTCGCCCGTACCGAGACCTCCGCCGTTTCAGAGCACAACACCGGACACAAGCCACTTTGGAACGAAGTAAAGTTTATTGATCGTGACCCTTATTACTACATGTGCAGGGTCAATATAAGGCTTCACCCTAACAACATCAACAGGGATAGTGGAATAGAAATTCCAGAAGCGTGGACGCCCACGATCAAAAAACACAACAACAGGAGAGCCGTGCAACAGCGGACCGCCGGGGGAGCAAATCACTGAGTGAACAGCAAGGATCGAAATGCACCAATCAGAGCTGTTGAAAAAACAACTAATCACAGCAGAGCATCATACTTTATACCATCACGCATGACCAGTCGACCTCATCACCTGAAGAAGACTAGCAGTATGCAGTCGAAACGTTGCGATCTACATCATACGTGACTACATCGTAAGACAAACGAAAAAACATACCTTTTAAACTCTTCATTGTTACACAAATTCTCCTCGTCAGCACCTTAGTAAATGTACAGAGAACAGTATGAAGAATATAATTAATGATGTTAGGGTGTAAAGGGTTAAGAGCATCTCTTTGTCGTCAAAACTCGTTAGCAAATCAACTTCAAACATACTGCCATTCTCGAGGTTGATAACTCAAAATGTACGCGGTAAAAATTGTCTCAACTTATAGAAAAAATGAAGCATTGGAATATAGTTTGGAATTTTTCCAGGTATGGTTCAGAGCTCACTGAACTCTACCTGTTATAATGTGTATGATATCATATATGATATAATGATAAATACAAAAACAGATGTTTTTGATGATAAAAGATATTAAGGTCGCAGTTCTAAAAACGTATCTCCATTTTTTCAGAGTAACGCACTTCGGTCGAACTCTAACAGTACCATCACTGTCGCCGATATTTTTCTGTCATATTACGTTTAGGCAAAGCATTCATTGAAATATTGCAGTCAAATCGAAAAGTATGAGTATGAGTGCTAATTGTATTTTTTTTTCATCTTTTTTTTTTCTTTTTTTTAATAATTTAAGCTCCTTTCCCAACAGTTTAGGCGCAAGACTTAAGCATGCAGTTTAACAACTGGGTTGAATTTAGGGAGGCAACGCTGTTTTTACTTACCATTTCTGCCATACTTTTCTACGCAACAGGTCCAGAAGGCCTCCCTGCAGTCATCAGGCAAATTTTTGTTGGCGTCCAACGAAAGTTTCGCGCAAGTTACATTTCCACCAGCTTTTCTTCCCCATTCACAGCACATCTTCATAACTGTTGGATTAATAGTAACAGTGCACAATTGAAGGAAAAAAAACGAGCCTCAAGTTTGAAATGAAGCAAAATTTACTTCAAATCATCACTAAACGCTACTAGATTGGTGAAATTCTTAGAAAACAAGTTATTTTCCGGTGCATCAATTGAACCTAGGGTTAAGAGACAGACACCTAAATTAGTGAATAAAAAGATTTATCCCTATTAAGTAACTAAACTGTTTAGATACTCTGTATGGTCTTTGATAAGGTTTCCATATTATCCATATCGAATCTAAACAATGTTACGAACCAAGCCTTTTGATCCTTTATAGGCATTTAATGTAGTTTCCCTATTATGGGGTAGTTGTTCTACTTATTTATTGTCTCGTCTTCTTCGCCTTCAAAAACGTGCAGCTAGACTGCTCCTTAATGACGACTTCTTCCAACCATCTGTAAACTTATTTTCCAAACTAAAATGGCTTCCTATTTTCGACTTTATAAAACTAAGAAAACTTGTACTCTTATTCACTATTCTTAATAATCCTGATGCTCCTCTTTGTCTTAAACGTAAATTCAATTCCTTGTCTTCCGTTCGTTCAACTGGTTTGCGCATTAGAGCTTGCGCTTTTAATCTTCAAGTTCCCTTCCCGCGGTCTAATTCTGGAAAACGCAAATTTGCTTACTCTGCTGCCACCCTTTTTAATAGCCTTGACACTGATCTTGAGCGAATAGCCAGTGTATCTCTTTCTTCTACTATTTTTTCATCTAAATTAAGTAATTTTAAGCATAGACTTCGTATCTTATTCCTTTAGTCGGGTTAATGCGTTATGATTGTCGTTTTTCTCTTTATTGTAACAGTGTTAGGAAGTAATTGTTTATATCATATTATATCTATGTTAAACCATACAATTTCTAGTTTTAGTTTCTCTCCCAGTATTTCGTTTTGCTGTTTAGTCATTATTTTATATACGTATTTGTACTGCTGTGAAGGCCGTAAGTTAGATAACTCACTGGGTTAATTACGTCACCTTCGTTAAATAAAGAATATTGTATTGTACGATCCACATTTTATGATCCAAGCAAAGCTGCGAAATAAACGTCTCTACTGTCAACAATCACAAAGACTGTATCAATTGTGGTGATCATGTGGAAACTAAACTCAAATCTGCTTTCAGTTCTACCTGGGTCTGCCGATGATCTCCGTTTTCTTCGAGAACCATCTTCATCGCAGCCATAGCCTGAAAAATAATAAAAAAAGACATCACAACTTTAAGGTGCTTAGCCTTATCACCATTGTATTCATCTAAGATGAAATCTGTTAAAAATCATGACTTATATCAAGCTGAAACCTTCGCACACAGCCTTTGGAACTTAATGATCTCAAGGTACACTAAAGTCGTGCATATTTACCCCGCTACGGTAAGTAAAAAGAATTATCATGAAAATTATTAAATTACCAATGATTATTATTAATTATTATTTAAGTTATTACGTCCTATTGTTATCTTATCCTAAACAAGCACTTAGTGCTGGTTATTTACCCGAGGTCTAACCCAAACCGCGGTTTTAGGCTTTCTCTATAAGAGGGTTGATTTGATTAGATAATGTCTTTCCACTTTTAGCTCTCAGCCCTCTTACACTGTTCGCAAAAATGAATGTTCAGACGAAAAGGTTCGGCTAAATTGAGGATTGTTTGGGACGCGGTTTTGTTAAAAAATGGCTAAACTTTGTTTGAATAACCGACCCTCAAACTTGCTAATGTTATCGAACATAGTCGAGTATTTTTTATATTTTTTGACGCAAGAAGTAAAAAGAATCACAAATTTAAATTTTCGAACATTATTAAGGAAAAGAGATTGGTACTTGTAATGAAATGGTTCGAGCTTCAGAGTGAAAAGAAATTCGTCGTGTTAACTTAATGTAATAGCTATTTTGCTTCGAATTAACAAGAGTTTCAAATAATCAACTCACCATTTCTTCCATCGCTAACAAAGTTATCTGTCATGATGACAACACCAGCCCTCTGACAGGAAAGTAGAGAATGGAGAAATCGATGAAAATGTAAATAATCAAATGAAAAGTTTCAGCGCCGCATGTTCTTCGTCTCATATATCAGGGTACGTCTTCGGCCATGAGTGAATTTCAATCTTGTAACTGAGAAACTTTAGGCTTTTAACATTTGTGCTAAACAACAGAGAGAATTATCCTTTTTTTCTCCAAAATGTATGAACTAGTAGTGTCTCCCTCCATGGAGGAAGCCATCCGCTACACACAGGCTATGTCGTGTAGCCGACATGTTATCATCTTATTATCTATGTTCACGTTCCATGTCATTATTTTGAGTACCAACCTTAAAAATGTCTCTGTTATTTTTTCCTCCACCGACACCACAGCCAAGATCAAGTTCTTTAGCGGCCTTAAGAACCTGATTAGAGAACCAAGACGTTAATACATTTTACTTGTAAAGCCAGAGACTGATTTTTGTCTTAACGGTTATTAGGAATTAACCAGTTAATGGTAAATCTTTTGAATATTACGGGGCTACAAAGTACCAAATATTATACTTTTTTTATAAACCTCTTTTTTGCGCCCATTTTAGATACCTTACTACAAGCAAAAAATCGCTCGGCAAAGATTTTTTCCGGGAACTAAATTTCCTTTTCTTTATAGTATAGCCGTGTGATCACAATAATTTTCATTGCTGAAATACATGTTCTACCGTCCTATGAGGATCGAAGGGCTTAACTGTACTTTTTCACGCCAAGTTTCTGCAGTTGCAAAATCCGCACGTTAGTATGGAGAGTCAATATTTGGTTCAAATTTACACAAATCGTTATTAAAATTGGATCAATCGCTAGTGTATAAGGTGCGAATCGAAGATTACGAATATGCAAAATCTCAGGGATCAATTTCAATCGCTAATGTTACCACCTAATGTGTAATGGATAATGTATGGATATTATTGGTAGAAGTTACATGTCAATCACTTCTGGAAGTTAAAGGGTTAACTCTTCAATCATCGTCGCTAAATGGAATTGACATTTAAGACGTAAAGAAAGAAAGGAAAGACGAACAAGTGAACGCACTAGATAGGATGTTCAGATGCAATGAGCGCGAACGAAATCAATCTTTTATAACGCAAATGCAAACTTTGTACGGCACAGTTTAACACCGTATTAGATAACATAGGGAATAATCCTCTTTCACAAAAGGAGGGGGGAATGGGGGGGGGAGGGGAGGGGAGGGGTTAATTTCGTTTCGCCGTTACAATCGCATCGTTTACTATAGCCTTCCTTTCAACTACCGAACGCCTGGAACAGGCTCTTAAAAGCGGAGCCAGGCAGGCTAATTTGTGTTTCTATGAAAGAATATTCATTCATCCATCATAAAAAAGGTCTATAACAAAGCATGATTTGATTGAGTTACCCGCTCTTTGTTGAGTCTATTCTCGTTTCTCAGTAGATAAACACTCTTGTCCACCCCTAGGATTCCCAGATGCGTTCCTTTAGGAGCCTTGAGTTTAATCACATAATTTTTCGCAGGTTGTGTCTCAACTTTGTTTTGAGTTTCACCTCCGCGTTTGCCTTCATAAGTAAACTCAACCTGTCAAGAAAAGGAAGAGACAAATGTTGCAGTAACTTTTCCATAATCGAGTAACATGCATACATGTCAAGTTCAACACGGTTGCTTGCCGTAAACATTAAACCATGAAGCTCTAGAACTAAAACTGCAACGAGTTTTGAATACGTAATTGAGCTACATGTGGGGAGCTTCACTCTGCAGTTACGAACAAGAAATTTGTGCCAAACCTTCAAGAAATCCTCTAAATCTTTTCCTCTAAGTAATAGTAATAGGACTGAGTGAAGTACAAATTCGGTCTGTAATCATACGAGTGATAACGCGCAGCGGGAGTACGATTTGTTTGTCACGAGTATCATTACAGATCAAATTGGACGACACGAATTCTTACCAATTAATCATAAAAATTGTATTTTCCGACGAAGGAAAAATAGCCAAGTTATGAAAGAAAAGGAAAATTTTCATTAAAAGACAGACAAATTCTATGGTTATGGAAACCAAGGTTGTGATTGGTTGATTCAAACTACAATTTCGAATGAGATTAGTTGATTTAAACTACAACTTTGAATGTGATTGACTTATTGAACTTTCCGATAGCAAACTGTCCGATAAAGATTCTCTTTTGCATAAGTTTCTCCTAAGCTGTGTTGAGTGCCAGTATGGTATTTGTGAGTCAGTTCAATCTTCTTGCAAGTAGTTAGCCTATTTCATTATGCTATTAGCCCATTCCTATTTCATAATCATACCTACCTTTTTGGTCAGGTTTTTCTTTAAAAGTTTTTGACCACAAATCTTATTTTATTTGAGTTTTTATGAGCAATATTTAACCAGATTTCTTTTATTTTTTTTTTTAAGTCTCATTTACATTTTTCATGGTATACTCAGATAGCTGTAGAATAGTTTTATAGGTGAATCATTGTAAAGCACCACTGATCATTTCTATGTAAATAGCACTACAGAAATACTCGAATTATTATTATTGAATTATTATGGCATACCGTTGTTGGGAGTTTTTCCTCAACTTTAAGCAAAATGCTGTCAGCTACGACTCGTCCACTGCTGTGAATATAGTAAACAATCAAACGCGCGGATGGTGACATTTCAGGAGTGATTTGAAGGGACCAGCTTTTTGTTTCGCTTTTAAAGCCGTCCGCAAGCACTTCAGTGGTGTGGTGAGAAAGAATCCTTCCCCTTGAAACCACCTAGTTAAGTGAACCATTTAAACGTTAGTAAGGGAACTTTTTGAAATGAATGAAAACATAATTGTTTTAACTGAAGACCCTTTTCAAAGCTTCAGAAATGAAGGTGTTTCCCTGTTAAAGAAAACGGGAATTGTGAGTCTGTTTTTCCTAATTATGTTCTGTCACATCGGCTTTTTGGCGCGAGATGACCTAAACTTAACTAACCAAAGATATTGCAAAACCTCTGCAAAGGGTGTAAGGAAAGAAAAGAATCGTATTAAAGCCTGTAATTACTGTAAATATTAGTTACTATGTATCCCTAGTATGCTTAGTAATGCTGACATGCATACCATGGAACTTTTTAAAACATTTTATTGGCTCAGTAGCTATGCTGTACTAATACTAATATAAATGCGCTGTAAGCTTTCGGAATGTTTGGAATACTTTGTAAAGGTATATAACAACTCAGTCGTGTAGTAGAAGTAGTAGTAGGTGCTGTTGTCAGGAGTGTCCGACTGTTTAGAAAACTATACCGAGAGAGCTACTGTGAAAGATTGTTCATTTCATGGAACTTTGGGGACACCTGTGAGATTGTGTTAGTGGTGAGCCAAGATATAAACTGTAATGAGTTTATTAAGTTTATTAACGATAATTAACGTATTGCCTTTAGGGGTCGCTCCTTAGTTAGAATATTACAAGTTGTTTTCATAAATCAGAAGGGTTTGAAGGAGTACAGTGTTCTTTCTGTTGTTTACATTATACCGTAACAAGCCACTCACCACATACGAAAAAACGGCAGCTTTGTCATCATTTTTCCGGTAGGTTTCAATATTAGACTTGCCATCGACCTAAGTGATTTTAGAACAGACATTTTGTTACACATCCAATCAAACAATAGTCCCATTTATCAGCCCATGAATATGACGGTTATTCAGATCAATCAAGTAACATGAAGATACCAAGGAACACTTAAATGACAGTTTACATCGAACCATTTAAGGTAGTTTCCTTTGCTATGTACAACACTACACGAGTTGCCTATATTATGATAAATTTCTTGATTCCTCTCGGAAACGATAAGGTTTACAAGTTGTTCAAAGCTCGCAACGAATACTTTCAAGTCTTGCTATGTATTAAGCGCAGAAACTTCTATCGTAGAGTTTAAGATCAAGGTCCTCTCAAAGGTAAAGCGAAATCCTGTCGACTACCTGAGCCAATAATGATTTTCTTTTTCAAGCACAACTAACGATCTAAACAGATCACACTAAAAATATGGCGACCGCACGGCTGGCTTTTAAAATGTTTTAATTGGTATTTCGTTCTCTTACAGTCGAAATGAATTTTTATAGTAACCGAATATGATGGAACTATACAAAAAAACTGAAAAAATGCACGAAAAAGCTCACGAGTTGCCCTCCTCTCTTTTTCAAAGGGGAGGCAGATATTACGGGTGGAAAGTGAAAACTGAGCTTGCTTACTTTGAAAGAAGTTTCGCATCATATGGACATTGAATACACAACCGGCTCATAGTTTGCCTTTAATTTATCCTTTCACTATTAAGTCCTACATTTCGATTCTCCTCGCCGTCTGCCATAAGTATTGAAGTGACCATTTTTTCTTGGCGACGTATTAACATTACGATGAGAAATTGAATAATGGTCATTACATGGAGTTAAAGAGTCGATTACCATCGTCACGATTAACAGCTACCTTCAACTTTCCTGACGGGGGATGACGAATTACAATCAGTGGTCCATTTTCTGCGTCGAATCGTTGCAGCACGAAGTTAGCCAGAGCGGGTTGGGTATTTTCTTTGACGGCTTCAACCTACATCGAAACAAACATTCGTAACAAAACTTTGGACTTGAAACAATCTGCTCTGATTTTTAAACAGAAAATCAGATAAAAAGGCTTTTTAAGAGGGTTATTATCAGTATTACTACGCGGTCGAAAAGCAATACGCAATAAATGTTACATTTGTTAACGCATTAACTAGCTCAATAAATTTTCAAATGTATTACACCCATTTTGAAATCACTGGTGGTCCCTGTAATCTGATTGGCTCTAAATGGTGCGATTTATTCACGAATCGCATCATTCTCTGTTTTAAATCGCATCTTTTTCCCTGCCAATGAGGAGGCTACACTAAAAACAGAACAACCAATCAGATTTTAAGGCTTGTTTAAAGTAACCAATCAAACTGCAGGAAAATGAAAGACAAAGAGTATCATGTGGCAAATTTTGCAACTTTTGTTTCCAAACTCTTACTTTTTCCCCCAAAAAATTGGATGAATTTAATTTCAGACCGGCTCAGTACTGCATCAATAAAATATTTGAACTGACCAAGTCCTGTATTTGGGCGATTTCAAAATGGATGTAAAAAAGTGATAATTGAACCTCGTGTCGTGCAATTTTGGTCTGAAATCATACTTGTGATTTCAAATCGAACTCACGCTGCGCACTCGTTCGGTTTTGAAATCATACGTATGATTTCAGCCCAAACTGCACTCCACTCAGTTCAATTACCATTATTTATCGGTCCCTGAAGAAAAGAAATCAACTTTTCAAACCTCTATCTTAATGGTTTGGCAGTCGGTGCAGGCATCAACTGTAAACTCAGCTTCGCCGTTCTCAATCGTTTTGTCCTCTAATGTGGTCAAGCGTTTCTCTTCTTTCAAGCTTTTCCCTGTGGCGGATAATCTCACAGATATGGACTCGGTAGGCTTTTCATTCAGCGACACCACAACCTTAAACACAGTTCAAAGAAAGTTTTTCATACCAGAATGATACTTAGCCTAAATGGCAAATGCGGTCAAAGTAAAATCCCTAACTGTGAAGAATGGATCATGAAGAGTTCTTATATAGATAGGCGGCTTGGCAAATTCAAGGATTTTAATAGCTTTTCCAGAAGAGGTTATCAGTAGTGGTAGAGAAGGCTGTGAACGAGAAGTTCGTCAAACAAATATTATCAACGATATCTTAACAGGCGAGGGTAAGAGGCTCTACAAAGACTTTACTTTTCAATACACCCTCAGTAGATTCACATTATGCGTATACCTTAAGTGTAGAGCTAAAAAAAATGGAATGTCATTATTCATATCTTGTGTCTTTCACCTTCACAGTAAAAGGCATTCCAGGTTTAAAGTACTTTGGAGTGTCTATGATCTCGACCAGATAGGGGTTTGATGTAAACTTGCACGATTTATCCACCGCAGTCTCCTTTTCACCGGTCGCCCGTTCTGTGACGTCAGCCTGAACATGAAGTCTACCACCTTCTGGGAACCAGATTTCTCCGGCCACATTTTTAATAAAATTCACCCTTTCTTCCACTGTAGCAGTGCCTTTGTCAAGCTATTCCAATAAATCAACACACAAAAAAGGAAACAGTCATTCCGTCTAAGCAATTAGATTTTTCGATCAATGTCAGTATCTGAGAAAATGAGCACCTACCCCTCCCCTAACCCAACATTAACTCAAACTTGTTATCAGTTGACTGTTATTGGGTTAGGAGAGGAGTTGCTGCGCAGCTGCTAAGTTACAGACAGCGATCCAGATTTTAGTAAAGTAGTAGACTTTAAGCATAGCATTCATACTTTTCTTTCAACAAAAGTTCAGAATTTGACTAAATTTAACGAACCCATGCAATTTCATAATCCCTGAACAACTCTTTTACGATCAGTTTTCACCAGAGAACCTCTCTACATAAGTATAAAATGAAATGAAATCACTTACCAATACTAGCTGAGTAGCAATCGGAATAACCTTTCCTTTCAAAGCAATGCTCAAATAGACATTCGCAGACCCGACAACCGGCTTTCCATAAGTGTAACTTTGGAGGAAAAATGCATAGGTGAAACAACATATGTGTGCTGTGATATGTCAAGTACTACGTCATATATACATTGGCAGACTCTAAGTATGTCTCAACCTCTCAGCTCAGCTGAACTTTTCGCTCACTTAAATTACTTTGCTACCGAGGGTAACTTCTACACAGCAATTTTCAATGAAGTGTCGAAAGTAAGCCGGGATTGCTTTTATTTTGCTTAACTTTGCGATTGTTTCAGGAAACTTAAGTCATCCTCTGAACAAATCGGATTTAAAACTAAAAACAATAGCGACTTGGTCATTCGCGTTTACCCGAGCCTCACCCTTTAACTCACAGGATCCGATTGTAAATTCTCCCCACCACCTGCTACACATCTCCTTATAAATTAGTTAGAGAACTTGGTGTTAGATCAAGATAGTTTGAATATTCTCATTACCAGTCTGCTGGATAAAATAAGGATATTATGGGGAGAAGTTTCATGTTGATCACTTCTGGAAGTTAAAGGGTCAAGTAGCCTGCTTATTTTCCTTTGGACAACAGTCGAGGAGAAGAAGCCAGGAAAAATCGACCTCGTAGCAACCTAACTAGACAAAAGGTTTGACATCGGATTATAATGGCCTTATAACCAGAGGTCATCGCTATGTTAGTCGTAGTCACAAATCATGGGGTCAGTGACTTCAGTGCTATTGGTGGCGGTGAAGTGCTTTTGGAAGAATCAATCTCTACGTGTTCAGGAACGTTTTATCACTACATTGGGAACTATTTGACAAAATAAATTAAAGTCTGAAGGGATTATGCAACTATGGAAGCTTCTTAATGCGGGACAATGTCGGTTGGTTAATTAACCGTTACCATGGCAATATTTTCTGAGGATTCTGAGAAACCAAGAAAAAGAAGTGATTTTGTGAATTATTATCAAAATTGCTGAAAAGAATAAATGGGAGATGTTGTTCGTTCGAAAAATACCTGTTGAGCTCTGATAAGAGGTTTGTTGGTCGACTTGGTGGGTCAATTTGCTTAAATAAGAGCTCCAGATCGCAAGGTCGGTCGATCGGGGAGTCAATGAGCTCTGAGATACGAGCTCCAATCCCAAAGGATTTTTTGGTCGATCAAGGAGTTAATGAGCTCTGATAAGAGATCCCGGTCGCAAGAGATTTGTTGGTCGATTCAATGAGCTCCGATAAGAGCTCCAATTATTGGATCGATCGCAATTATTTTTTTGGTTGATCGGGTAGATCAATGAGCTCCGATAGGAGCTACCGATCGCAAGGAATTTGTTGGTCGATCGGAGAGTCAATGAGCTCTGAGATGAGAGCTCCCGATCTGGTGGGTAAATGAGCTCTGATAAGAGCTCCCGGTTACAAGAAATTTGTTCGTTGGTGGTGTGCATCAATGTGCTCTGCTCAAGTCAGTCAATAAGCTCCGTTAAGAGCTCCCGATCCCAAAGGAGTTTTTGGTCGAACAATTGGTTGATCGGTTGGATCAATTTGCTAAATAAGAGCTCCCGATCGCAAGGAATTGTTGGTCGATCAGGGGGGTCAATGAGCTCTGATAAGAGCTCCTGATCGGGTGGGTAAATGAACTCTGATAAGAGCTCCTAATCGCAAGGAATTTGTTGGTCGATCAGTTGATTCTAGAAGCTCGGATAAGAGTTTTACCGATGGCAAGGAATTTGTTGGTTGATAGTGTTTATCAATGAGCTCTGATAAGAGCTTCCAATCGCAAAGATTTTATCGGTTGATCGGGTGGATCAATGAGCTCCGATAAGAGCTCCCGATCGCATGGAATTTGTTTGTCGATCGGGGAGTTAGTGCCCTTTGATAAGAACTCCCGATGGCAAAGGAGTTTGTTAGTCTATCAAGGAGTCAGTTAGCTCTGGTAAGAGCTGCCGATCCCAAAGAATTTGGTGGTCGATCGGCCGGGGAGTCAACGAGCTCTGATAAGAGCTCCCGATGTCAAGGAATTGGTCGGTCGATCGGGGAGTCAGTGATTAGAGCTCCCGATCGCATGAAGGTTGTTGGTTTATAGGGGAGCCAATCTGCTTGGGCGTGAGCTTGTGCCCAGTGTTCATCATTCATCAAGTATGGACCTACAAGACAGCCAGACGATTTGGGTCTTCTCAATTCTGAAAACCTGCGGGCTTAGATATGAAATCATTGATTGGGAAAGACAACAAGGAGCATGCTATGAGGTGCCTTCAAGACTTTATGTACATGATATTGCTGAACTATCAACTGCGTTTGTCATAGATGGTATAGCAATTGTGTAGATGAGGAGGGATGTGGGTTCAGTTACTTTTGGAGTGCTCGCAAATAAGTACTTCGAGGTCATAACTGTCCCATTTGGGAAGAATGGCGGCAATTGTGTGGATATCGAATGTGATTACTATGACAAGGAGAACTCCATTAAATAGGGCGAACACGTCAGAGGAGCGTCATCCACTAGTTAACAAGTGAGAATGTCAAGTTCATTCACGCCAGTCCCAAAAAAATGGAACAGTTTTATCTCAAATATAGAGAACAAGACCAAACTGAAAATTTTTGTAGGTAGCACTTGGTAAGGGATTGCAAGGAAGGTGCTTCCAGCAGGATACTTTGGAAATTGGAAGGAAGTAGCATCAGTGGCGTGAAATGAAGAACATCCTTTCTACCATATACCAGAGAAGTTTCATAATGAGGCGACACACATAAGAATTTTTCTCCATGCTGCATGGCTACATTCTAATTCAGTCACCTGATACTGATGTAGCTTTCCTTTGAACCTCTACATATCATCATTTAAGATGAGGCCAGCTATGGTTCCGCACTGGGGCAAAGGACATGTTCCGCTATCTCCCAATACAATCATTGTCGAGTAGAAAAGCTCGAACAAGAACTTTGTAAGCTTCTATCAGCATTTCACGCCTTTACAGGGTTTGACATTACAAGTGGCTTTAGCCAGAGAGGAAAAAGAAAGGCTTGGAATTTCTTTTGAATAACAACCATGTCTACCTGCATTTACAGGACCTATGAGAACAAGTGACTAGAAATTGTTCGATCTGCTGAGGGTTTGATGAGCTTACTTTACACTCCTGTGTGTGAGGCTGGTATAACAGCAGATGGATTTAAATACGATATGGATAATTTCATGCGCTCAACTGACTATCTTGTGATGTATCTAAGATGTACCTCAGCAAATTGGTATCTGGTTAATAAATAGACTCCAAAATCGTCACTAACCTCAAATAGGAATATAGTATTTCTCACGTGTCTCTTTTAAACATTTTTGTCGTATGACCTTTGAATTTTTCGAATTAACAGCATCTGCCGTTATTTCTTTTTAGCGTATATATATATATATATATATAGAAAATTAGAAACAAAAAACATCAACAATTGACCCGAAAAAGATTATGATCGTCCTCTTTTACTGCAAATCGATATGAAAGCATATTTGGTTTCCTTAGTAACCATGGCTATGGTAACGGTTTAATACACCCCATTTACACCACATTAAGTAACTGCAAAAGTTATTCCACTCCCACCTCCCCCTCTCCCAACGTGAAGAAAAAAAAAGATATATATTTGGTCGAGCAGTTCTGGAGATATTGCTAAAAACGTTCCTGAACTTATACATAATGATAATTCCAAAAGCAACCCTCACCCCCTTAAAAATCAGTGTGTAGCAAGTCACTGACCCCACAATTTGTGACTATAACTGATGAAGCCATGATTTATGGGTATCAGCCAATCATAATCCGAAGTCGAACCTATAGTGCAATGGGGCTGCTAGGTAGTGCCTTTTTTAGGCCTCTTTTTGAAATCTCGTCCTCAACTTCTTATGATAATGTAAACCTTTGTTCTCATAAGTCGTTGGGATTTATTTTGGTTTTGGTTCTTTGAACGTTTTCCTCAAACTGCGTTAACAGAATCATTAAGGTGAGAACGATGTTTCGAGGCACATAACGTCCAGCAACATGGCTAGTTAACGTTTTTCAATCGCAAGCTCTCGCTTTACTGCGAGGAATGCAAGTTGCATAAAGGAAAGGAAAAAGCTCTCCCTTACTGATGGCTTCCTTTCCACGGCTCCATATAAAAAATCGTTTGCGAAACGTTCACCAATTTTTATTTAAGGTGAAACCTAAAGCATTGGATTACTTGTCTCAGAAAGGATGTACCTACTAGAAAGTATTTAACGTGAGTATTTTCCAAATTCGTGCACGCCTGTATCATTTTCCTGGATGCGTTCGATTTTCATTATTCTTATCATTCATCCTTTCCCCAAGCGATACAAGTTTCATGTGATCATTTTGGATTTGTTTAAGTAGTTGACCAGTCGAAAAATGCATGCATGACTGAATTTGAAAATACCAACACAAAATCAGCACAAAAGTGGAGAAAGGAATTTTCCAAAAAGATGATTCATCTTTTTTTTTCGTTTGTTCGTTTGTTTGTTTTTTTTTTTATGTGAAATCAATAGTCCCAATAAGTGTTACCCGCTTTGTCGGTTATTCACTCTCTGATATCCATTTTCATTTTGAGCCATGAAAGGTTGTTCATGTTCGAATTATAAATCATTGAGTAGTCAACAATACCTGGCCTTTAGCTGGACCTCTACGTCTTTGTTTGTTTTCAGTATGTAAGGCGGCACCTGGAGTTTCACGGAGAACTTGGGAAGAACTGAAACGTCATCAAAGAATCTTAAAAAATTCAACGTCATCAGGAGAAAAGAGAACCCGGAAGAATGAAATCATAAACTTACCGTATTCTTTAACTTCGAATTGCACAGATGTGTTGTAAATATTCTGCAAAGAAAGAAAAAAGTGTGTGGAATTAACCTCCTGAAACAAAGTCGAAAAATTCGCTCTCACATTTATGTTTTCAAATTTTAATGCTATTTTTTCCTTTTGAATATGTACTTTCAAGAACCTTTGAATGTTTATGAAATTTTAATCTGATCTTTATCTTTATAAAGGACTTTTTTTTAAATAATTATCACATCCAAGAGTCTACAATTTTCTTTACACAGAACGGTGGAAATTGGCGTTCGTTAACTGAAAACTTGGAAATAGTCATCCCTAAAACTTGAAAATCCAGTTGAACATCGAAATTTCTCCACGACTATGCGAAAATGACTTACGAAATGTTTATGGTGTCACACACGTATTAGAACTAATACAAGACATGTGCTTTAGGTTCCATTTGCTTAATCGCTAAGATTTATCTATCTTATCTTTCTCACATTGAAACTTCCCCTTTTTTCATTCGATTGATCGATTATGCTCAAGCTGTTTAATACACGCTAGTCATTTCATCTAAATTGCCCCTTTCAATCTCAGGGTGTGAAACCTCTATCCTTAAATCTACATCTCTTTGTTGGCATGTGATTCTGTGATCTGAAAAAAATATTGTGCGGGCAAAAGCTGTCAACACTGTGGCAAAGAAAAGCCTACCTGATGACCGTATGTAGCTGTTACTGTCCAGTTACCCAAGATGATGAAATTGCTTAATGAAAATTCTTCTGATATAATACCTTTAAAAACAAAAACAAAAACAAAAAACAAAAAATGTACAATGGACATTAGAGTTAGGTTTCTTGCTAAATTCAAATTTAAAAAAATGACTTAATCGGGGGCAATTTTTTCAATTATCCTCTCGTCTCTCATACGAGTGTTCACCGTTTGGATGATGATACTTTTGAATTTTCGACCACTAAGACATACAACTTTCCAGCAGCTTCTCTTCAGTTATACCTCTTGAAATCCTGGTTCGAACCGGGACACGTTTAAGGACTCTATGCCCAGATTGTTAAAAATTTAACCCTATGAGTGACTATAGCATATAGTTTCTTCATATAATTTCACACCTGAATCAAACATTAAGGTCACGAGAATAAAGAAAATGATCACCAACTAGAGAGATCTTAGGAAATGTGTAGAGAAATGAAAGGAGAACATGCATACTGATATTAGGATGTAAAGATTCGAAGGTATTAAATTAACTATAACAACATGATAATTTCATCAAATGAAGAGTCTTTTCAAACCTGTGCTAGTTTCAAGGTCCTTCCACTGCCTTACTTTGACTCCCTGTGGATTCTGCATATAAAATATGCGATATAGTTACGGATGACATTTACGTTGTTGCGAGCTCTTAAATGAAACAACTGATGGAGAATTATTGTATGTATGTATAGAATACTGAAGTAAGCTTACCAGGACCATCAAAGTTATCTGTTGCAAAAGAAAAAAGGCAACAATTAATTAAAAATGAATTCACATCAAAGATTTGAGGCTCGGATTGTAATTGGTCGACCAGTAGTATGGTGGAAAAGATGTTTGCAATTTAGTGGCCATAATTACAAATTGATATCTATAGCAAGAGTGTATTGGCCATATCAGAACTAAGGTAGGGAAATAATTAACAATCAAAGTAATTCATAGCTGAGAAATGACAGTCTGCTGATATTTTGGAATACCAGATATCCGCAGGCAGATAATTATATGTAATGTTTTCAAATTTAACATTACATTTTTTCCGGCGAGACAACACTGCGTTAAACGAAACTTTGTAAGACTATCATTTAAAGTGTGCTTGGTGAGCAGTTAATATAAATAACCCATGAGCTTCCTTCAAATTAAGTGATTTTCGTCGGAAGCCACTATTTTCCATTATTCTACAAGAGAGTTGAAAGATAAATTAGAATCACTTGGTAGAACCTCTTCTTTTAGACCGCAGTCAGGCTAGCCAAGTCAGTGATAATTAAAGTCAGGGTCACATTCGTTTTTTCGAATTTGCGGCTACATTCAAAAGCACCTTCTTTATTTATTAGTTAATTATTCATTTATTAATCGGCAATATTTAACCAGGTTGACCTGGTTCGGCCGCGATTATTTTTCTAACAAAACCAATGCAGTCAAAATAAAATGTTATTTTCAAGACGTCGTTTTGCTAAGCTCTTACATTTTTTCCGGAGGGCATCATGTTAAACTGGAGCGGTAACACCCTGATATGAACTGCAGGAAGGAAAAAGAGCCAATTGCAACATCAATCAATAAAGGGAATTTAGACTATAACTGAAAGCTGTTTAATGAAAATGGACGCGTCCTATCTCTATTGCCGAGTAGCGTAGTATCTGACAACGAACGACTGAGCTCAGACAACAGCTGATTTTTGCGAGAAAATGAGCTTCCTGACATGTATCAACTGAATAAAAAATCACTCAGAGCATTTGCCCCGCTGTAATTTGGTCATTTTAGATGTGCAAAGATTTTCTCCAACTACAGATGCTACAAGATGACTTGTAGCATCTAGCAGAGAAATTTATTTTCGCGAGGGGACGATAAAAAACAAAAGGCCTTAGTAACATTAAGATTCTCCATAGACTTTCATATTTTAAAGTCAAATTTCTATTTAAAGAAAGAAAATTATACCCATAATTTACGCAACATTACTTATCGTTAGAGTTGTGTTCATTCATTCCTCATTCAAGTGAAATATTTTGGTTTGCTCTGCTAATGACACGCCGGAACGAAATTTTTGTCCTTCACATTACGTTTAAAATCAATTCGAATTTAGTTCTCTGCTTTGGTCGAAGAGAAATCATTGTATCCATGAAAAAAAAAAAGATATTTTCACAGATATTTTCAGTTCGATTAAGTTTTTGTGACAAAGGAATCTGTTCTTTCACTCAAATGTTTGATTCTCAAAGAGGAACCGAAGGTATACCCCTGTGTGGTAAATGGGGAGGCAGATGGAGTTTCAGAATTTTCGTAATCCTTTCACCCCTAAGAATGTCTGGCTTCTACTTTGTCCTTACAGTATCACCCTTGAACCAAATGTAAAGGTCGTGATAATGAAGGAAACGATCACTGATTTAAGAAGCCCCTGAATGTCAAACAAATTCTCTCTGTCAGCAACATAGGAGATGTAAAGAGAACAGTGGAGAGAATATGAAAGCTGATATAAGGGTGCAAGGGGTTATGTGTCTCTGTGTCCGCACAAGGCCCCTTCAAAATTAACGAAAATCTCATACATCGCTTAACAATAAAGGTTCGGTAACAAAGATTGTGCAATTAGCTCAACGTCAGTTCATCGCGATGGCGACATAGATCTTACCTTTCTGTTTTGGTGTGTAAATAGGTTTGTCCGTCTGTATGAACACCATTCCATTCTTGAAGCTGAGCAGGATCTTTACCTCTTTGTGGAACTGAAAATGGCCGTCATCTGACTTGGCGATGAGGTAAACATACCGCATATCTACCGACTTGATATCTGGAAGGTTCCCCGGTTCCACCTTGAGATACGAGAAGGACCAGTTACGGGTAAAGTTACGAGTAAATAATATAAAGATCTTCTTCGCAAGTCTGATCAATAAAGGGAAGCCCTTTTGGACAGAGACCATACTTAGAAGGGTCAATAATACACACTTTGTTGCTAATAATTTTTTCGATAAAATTTGTGTAAAACTTAGTTCACAGGAACTTCGTGTAATTGGGGTAATATCCAACAGAACGATATTTTAAAAAAATTCCAAAAAATAAAAAATCCTTCACCTGTTTAAATATGCATATAACAGAACACCTTTCAAATTAAAACAATATTCAAAGTACTAATAAACTTCTTGTATTTTCAAACCGTTTATTCCAAAACTGATGCTGTTTTTATTGCTTGTAATGTTCATATTTCTTTAAAATGATAGCATAGGGCCCGTGATGACCTACGTTATAGCTTTCCTGGTTACGCGCCATTACTTCACCAAACACTGTGCATCGTTAAAAGATTCTAGCGCGTCTTCCGAAATGCTACTGAACTCTTACCTTGACTGTGAGGAGAGAGGTGCTCCCTAAGAGAAAAAACAAAAATCAAACAGGTCTTTTATATTTCAGGTTAATTCTTCATCTTTCCCATAGCAAAGCCATTAATTGAAGTGGCTTTGAGCCCCAAATCTTCTAAATATCTATCTTGAAGTGATGATGCTGCAAAATGATTAGACTCGGTCATCCATCAGATGAAAGTCGACTTGGAATCTCATTTTCCTAGAAAATGTGGTTCCTCTTTTAAGACTCTCGCGAAATCTTTGCTTCCATCTCACCAGGTTTCGAAGGCTAATTCTTATAGCACTTTCAAATCCCAGCAGCGATTCGGATAAAAAAAAAAAATTCTGTAACGCTTTCGTCTTACCTTTTCCTGGTTGTAGTGTAACTTGGTTTGGGGAGAATGTTTTCCGCCTGAATGGATAGTCCTGCAGATATAACTTCACTGTTACGGGCTGCATGGCATCGTAAACCGCAACTGAAACGTTCTCCTCGACACCAACGTGAAACACATTGGGAGCGATTATGGCAAACCTGCAATGATAACGATGACAAGTTTGAGAAATAAAATGTTTTGTTGGCTGTAAGCAGAGGTAAGAATTTTTAAGCTACTTAACGTGATTAAGATATTCCAATTAACACTCAATACGGCTTGCAAGCCGGACAGGTTAGAGTAAGGAAGAGATTCTTCCCGGTAAGTCGCCTTACAGTTTTAATTCCCGGCCCCGCCTAACCGAAGTAAATCCTTAAAAAATCATCCTTCGGCGTCTCAGAATTCGATGACATGTATGTTTATACTAGGTAACATTTCGTCGAAAATGATTAAATTGCTACCAGTTCCTAGCTCCATGCCTTTGGCAGTGCGAACTGGTACCTTTTAGTCTTCTTTAGTCACTCTTATGGCTGGCTAATTCTGTTATCACACGGCAGAATATCTAAAAGGTTGATTTCGCTGCTACCACCATCTATTTCCCAGAGAAGGATCGGTTCCAGTCCCTAATATGGAGAGGAGGGCGGAAACTTTGAATTCCTCTTCCTTAATTACGCTAGTATTGTGGTGGATTTTACCCCATACCTTCCATATGGTAAAGCACGAATATTAATTTAAGAAAAAAATCACTGAAAGAACAAAAGAAAGAAAGAGAAGCTGATTCAACAAGCGAGAGCCGATCGAACAAAATTGAATGAAAGTGTCACCGGAAGAAAAAGGGAAAAATCGAACCTTTCACTTTTGAAGTGAATTTGCACTTGCATACTTGTCCGGAAGTAAAAACGTGAAATTGAAACCTTAAATTTCTTCGAATATTCTTCGCATATTAATATGGTAAGGAGCTACAATTGGAAATTTTCTCGCAGTCATCACGACAAAGATTCCAATCCGAGTCACGAAATTTATTGATCGGACTATGTAGGGGTCAAATTCCGCTCTGTTTTAGAGGACCGAATCGAGAACAACTCTGACGAAGGGCTAGCGATCGAACGTCAGCTTTTGAAACTCTTTACGCTATTTACTCACTTGATAAAACGAAATAATTTTGTAAAACCCCCTCCAACGCAACAGCACAGCCTCTCTGAGGCACCGAAAGTCTGTTGAGCTCACGAGTCGCTAAAGTCGAAATAATATATGCCTTGCCAAACCCGCCCTTGAAACTTTCCTGCCAACAAACTGAAAATCTGTACAAAGGGGGGGGGGAAAGTGCGTCAAACGTAAGTGAATTACAGAGCCTTCCCTCTTGAAGGATAATATTCACAAACAACGAAAGAGCTGCATTTTGACAACATCATTTGCATTCGAGAAAGGTTACGACACTCGTCCGATTTGTATGCACCTTAGCATAAATATCGATAAAATTAAAACAATGTATATTACCTCTTAGCTTCAGTACATCCTATGATAAGCAAAAATATTGAAAATCGCAACGCCACGGTCAAAACGTTCGTCATGTTAAAATCAAACTTTTGGCAGAATGAGAGTGCTTCCCTCAGCAAATAGCTGAAGTGTTCAAGGAACAATGAGCAAAGGTGTTGACAGATTCGCTGACTCGCCAGTCACGGAAGAAAACCCTCACTCAAATCATCTTCCTGTTTATTTATAAGTAAAAATAAACCACGTAAAAATGAAATCTAAGTACACTCATTTAACCCCTAACTTCAATTCGGTGACTGAAATTTAATCTCACTAGTGCGTTAAAAACGAAATCTTTCTCGTCGTCGTCCTTGGTTCCCCTTTGGCTGTTCTTGGCTTGATGGTCAGGAATAACGGTTTTAATAAATCAGTTCCGCTTTAGTTAAGTCCTCCTTCGAGCATAAAAAAATCGGGCCCTCGACACTAGACCCAAAGTTTACATTCTTTAAGCCAGACTTACTGGTATTTATTTAGTTTTAGGTAAAAATAATGGCTACCAGAAACGCACGTCGCAATCATTTTGTAGTGAGTTAATGTGGGTTACCTCTGAATCAAAGCTGTACGTGATCAAAGTCGACCTTCCCGGCAAAACAAAGAACGATAAGAACAAATGCTCCGTTCACTATTTCAATTTCGTTATCTGAAACCGGACTTAAAATTTTGACACAATACCTCCCTTAAACTGCATCGCAAAGTCACAAAAATCTTTGCGAATCTTGGCAATGGTTTACATTTTAAAGTTTATTCTGTATTTGGCCAAAATTTAAGAAATGATACCCAAGAAGGTATTTGTGATCGCTGCATGAGCTTTTGCCCAACAAATTTCAAAAAGCGAAAAACCAGCTGTTGCGTTTCTCTCGGCTGACAGCTGCCTGTTCAGTCAACTTCCTCTGCGTCCTGCGAAGGAGAACATGGCTATGAAAAGCCTGACGTAAGACCAATAAAAAAATCGATTAAAGACTACGTGAGCTACGCGTATTTAGACATCCTTTCTGTTCAGACTTCCCTCTCAGCTGTCCCCAGGTTTCATCTTTCGCGGAACGGCGTCTTCGCTGATTCAGATATCATTTCAAAGCCAATAATGCAGTAGAAACTTAACAATTTTCTCTTTTTGTATTATAATCATTGACATCCAAGATTATTACCATTATTATTGTCATTATCATCTTGACAATGTCAAAACAATTTATTTTGAATTGTGAAAAACTTCTCAACATGCTTCATTCATAGTTCATAAACTGGTTGTGCAAATTTGGTAGGCACATTAGAAAGCGTTATTTGCCATGCCGATGCACGTTTGTGGTGTACTGTCGAAACGCTTTCTTGTCGTTTACAACATGTCTGCTTCGTTGTGACATTTCAGGAGTTTACACGCACAGAATAATAGATGCGTTTATTAGGACAGCCGTATAAAATCGAAACATTAGAGAAATTGACGATTACGATTGCGGCATAACGGCATAAATATAAACTTTCACTTAAATACCTCTTTAACGACACCGCGTTACTTTTAAATTTAATCAACGAAGTAGGTAAGTCTTTTACCGGCATGTGCTTGCAAGTTTTTTAAACGAGAAAAATAGTCACGCCAGTTCAGCCCTCCAAGCCGGACAACCTTAATCGAGACCCAGATTAAAATACTATCAACTTTTCATATGATCATTGGCCGAAAAGGTAGCAGAGTTGGCACTTTCACTCAAAGAAAGAAAAAATAGTGGGGAAAAGATCTGACTCAATAAGTGATTAGCATTAAACGGATTGGGAATACCGTACCAAAATCAATACCTTTGTTATTTTGGTCTTGTCAATGGTCCATTGTCATCGTTGTTGCTGCACATGATGTACGCCTGATGAGACATGCAGAGACAATTTCCTGTGATAAAGGAGAGCCGCCAGTAAAAACAATTACAGTTGAAAAGAATCCTTTGGCCAAGAGCAGACCTTCTCCAAGCATAACAAGATAATTGGTTTTAACAACTGAATTGTTAAAGTAAATTGGCCACCGCTTCTCCAGGCATAATCCGCTGTGAAGTCGATAGAAATTAATACATATATATATTTTTTTTGAGAAGGACGGGGTTACCCATGAGTTTATTGGAGAAGAAATCTCTTCAGATACATGAGGATTCTTTCTGGGGGATGAATCAAAATTATTTTTCCCTTAAGGAATGGCTGATCCATGCTCTCGGGACATGAAAGATGAGGATGTGCATGAAAGTGGTTATGTTGTTTTCGGCAGGGTATCCTGGACCACTGCCAGCCATGCGGCCTGTATAGCTTTCCCCAATTCTTTTCCTGTTGATAATACGCAGAGATTGTAGTTAATAAACAATTTTGATTATTTATTTATATATATGATTCTTCCACTTGAAAAACATTTATTTTCTGATCTGTTGGCTGCTTTAGCTGAAATTCCAGTAGCTCTTCGAAACCTCTTAAACAGAAAAGGATGATTGCTGATTATAATTATTTGAAATCTCGAATCTTTACAAAAAGTTCTAAGCTTTTGAATAATGACGTGGAGGTTATTCTTTCTTTTAATTCATTTCATTAAATCTAGTATTGTTGTAATCATAATTATTATTGTTATTATTATTATTATTATTATTATTATTATTATTATTATTATTACAGTCATGATTATTATCGTCGTATAATTATCATTGCAGTTTTGAAATCCGCGTACACTGATTTTCACCATGGGCTTTTTTTGGGCGATAAGTGTATTTTTATTATGTCTAGGTTGAGGACATTACACGCTCGCCCAAACCACGCCACATTTAAACGTAATTTCAACTAATAATTTAAAACTGAAACAATTAGGGTTCCTGTTGACTAATTTCGAGAATACAACGGATTCTGTTACAAAATTCTTCCAGTTAGAATAAGGTAATTAGGGTTTTCAGAAAATCTTTTGCTCTTGAAAATAGCTTCCATATTAAGAATGATCATGTTTTGTGAGTTTTTCAGTGTAAAAGGAAATCTATCGCCTTCCTAAATCTCTATCATTGATACATTGATTCAAAATTCGTCCATGAAAGTCGAAGTAGGCTCTTCGCAATATCACGGGTCGCCATAACCCTTAAGCAATAACTTTATGCTATGTTGGAAACACCTATCTCGAGCTGATATATCAACGGTGATTCTTAAAACACGACATACAATAGAGCTCTCAAAATGAGTTTAAAAGTAGACGAAATTTCCGTCACCTCACCACTTGTCTCTCAAAACTTGCCGGCTGTAACTCGCGTCTGAGGAGCAACAAACACTTCCGAACCGAAACGCAAAACATCCAACATTTTAACTTCAACCGTAAGAGAAGTTCGGAGTGTCGCCTGAAGACTTTCCTGGCAACATTTATTAAACGGATTGAAAGCAACAGAGCGAAATTTTTGAACCTCACGTTAAAAGATCCGGACGAAACTCAAACACTCAAATGAATAGTAATAAAATGAGTGTAGATAGTGTAGTATTTGAAATTCAAATTAGCCATTGCACGGGCCTTATAATGAATATTTAAAATAAAATTGCGATGAGCGGGAAGGGATCATTCGCCTCCGTGTTCATTGTACCGATCAGACGAATTGTGTATTATAACAAAGGAAATTCACATAGTAACCACGGGCATTGATTTTAGCTCGCAACATTTGCCTCGCAAAATTTCATCTCAGGATAATGAACACGGTAATGTCATAATTCTGAGGAAAATTCTGAAAGGATGCCTCAAACATCCTGGGAAAAAGAGAAGCCTGTGATCCGACTCTGGTTAAAATGGCTGAGGAGGAACCGGTATCTAGTGAGGCGACTGGCGGGGGGAGGGGAAGGGGGGAAGGGTTGGGGTGCCAATATGACTCAGTACTAAATACATTTATTGACCTTCAAAAACGTATTATGACATTTGGTTGGAAATTAAGCCAAAGGAAACCCCTTCGGCGTACAGCGCTTCCCGAAAGAGGGCCGGATCAGAATACACCCTATATTTCGAAGAAAAATATATTTCTTAACACAAAATGGCACCACCCTCCTTTGAGCGCCTAGCATTACGCGGTCTATGCACAGTTCTAATTAGGCATCACTCACACTGACTTGTTTTTATTCAAAAACAAGTGATTTAAAATGCAATTTTGCACATCATACACTCACTGCTAAATTCCCGAGAACACCAGTGAGACTTTGGAAAAAGGTTTCAAAGGAGGAATCTTTATCAGTTTTAGGACTGAACACAGCGTTTTGATAACGATCTATTTTAAGGGTTGACAGGTGAAAATGGGCGTGGGCTTTAAAAAACAGTGTCAAAAAAGCATGTCATACTGTCGATTTCATTAGCGTGTTGGCGAATTACGTTTGGACAATATTTGAAAACATATTAGACAGTATGCGTTCAAAAACCCATTAGTGAGGAAAGGTGAAAACAAAACCAAAATGCAACTGTAAAGAAGGGGAAATTTGCTTCGTTTTTGTTCAGACGGACGCTTTTCTGTGTAAAACTCTCCACACCACGAGTTTACGGTTGTGCTCGTTACTTGAGTTGGCAGGTCGTTTATTCACTATCAAGTTTTCTCTTACTTATCCCATCGTTTTGAAGAGGAACGTCAGAAGTTCACAAACATTATTAATTAAAGTTTTGTTTTACATCCGCACCGCTCCGCACGTTATATGAGTGCCAAGGTTTTCTGTCGAGTAAGTACAGCAAATTGTAGGAATCGAGACCAAACATAATTGAATGATGAACAAAATTTATTTCAGGGCAGTTGGCAGTTAGTTCGACATCTCAATCATGTTCGTTAAATTAGCTTTTTCAGATTTTATTCAAACTGTGCGAGGTCGTATAATTTCTTCAGCTGTTTAAACACAGTGACAATAGACTAACATCAGTCCCTCCTACTTGGCGAAGTCCGTCGCACAACTAAAAAAAAAAGGAAAAAATTGTTAGGGCGCCAACATCAATTTTCTTTTCACTGATTTGTTTCTTACTCACGCGACGGGCTTTGCCGGAAAGGATGAACTGCTCTCGGTCTAAAGTGACAGATAATTAAGC